AAAAATAATTTTTTTAATATATTCTTGATCTTGAAAATATAATAATTTTTATTTAATTATTTATTAATTCAAGTTTTTTTTTATCGTGATAAATAACTGTGATGATGGGGGATGACGTGATATATTATTCATCACATCAGCAATTAATGAAAATAAGATAATAATAAATTTTGAAATTAATTATTTATAAATAAGTGATTATTGTTAAAAGAAAATTTAATTAAAAAAAATGATTACATTTATAAAGACTAAAATTATTTTTAACTTGAAGATTTAAATACCTTAAAGATATTTAATTTGATTTTTTCCTTCATTTTCTTGCACTATAGTGTTGAATTAGAAGTATTTAAAGAAAAACGAAAGTCTAAATTAAAATGGGTTAAATTTAAAAGCTTTTTTTCTTTCGAGCACTCAAAATGATGTATATGAATACTGATGGATGGACATTGAAAATGAGAGTTAGGTCCTAAGCAGCCGAAGAAGGAAAGAGCACATGACTAACTAAATGCAGCATTAATAGTTGATCACTTAATGCAACATTAGGAATTAGAAACTCAATGTGAAACTATTGTGGTTCCGATCGAGGGTTACTGATTAAACAAGTCCATTTAAAATCATCAATGCAGGGGTGTACAAGGGTAGATTTGATCCATGTTAAAATTTGACAAGATAACAACTTTTAAGTTCCAACATAAAACTCTCATAGTATTTCTCAGTTACTTTAACTGCTTTACCCGTCGAAAAAAGTCACAGGACTATGAAACAAATTTTATTATCATTAAAAGGAATAGATGGAGCACTAGCATTAACTGATTACAACATTTAAAAGATGGTGGATTCCTCAAACATCGTTGTCTTGGTTTTAGGTTACATGTGTGGAGCATGGACCTATAACTTTTTTAAAGGTTTTCACCTTGATGTTATGTTGGCCTTTTCTTGTTCTGTGCATTGAAAAGCCATTCGAAATATGCGACTAACTTGATCTGCCCGAGACCTCATCATGCAGTTATTTACAATGGAGACTTTAAGATCATAGCCCAAATTGGATGTTTTCTTCTTTGTTCTGAGGTCTTATTCCTTCCCAATAATTGTATAGTTCTGGCTTGGTTCCCTACCTAACTTGTAGGTTGTTGCATCAAATATTAAAATTTGATCATTGTAGAATATATGTCCATTCTATTTGAAGGATACCCAACAAATTATTCATGCGAAGAAATTAAACCTTTTTGGTCTAATAGTTAACTTCACATAACAACGAATTTCTATTTATTCACTTAAAGCATACCCATGAAGGACAGAAACCCACCAATGATGCCACCTTGTATTACCACAACAGCTTTCAATTATATTATCCAAAATAAATAACATTAAAAAAAGAGGAGCATATTATTATCACGAAAGAGCAACACACTCACTTTTAAGCTTGAAATCACGAAGCAAATATAGTGAGGTGCGGTACACATGTTAAGTAACAGAGGTACGGTTATTAGAGTGAAATGGAAATAGAGTACCATAGAAGTTACTACATACTATGCTAAGCTGCAAATTAAGACATAACCCAGAACCAGAAACTAATTATAGAATCATCTAGAGACATTGTTGGAGCTACTATGAAGTTGGTTGTTTATCCAACCAGGTTAATGCTAAGAATGACTCTCTGGACTTAAGCTTGACTTGAGTCGTGTGTTTGTGAAGGGTGTGGCTCCTCCGCCACCTTTTCCTTGCTGCACGTTGCTCTTGCTGCTTCTACTACCATTTTGACCAACTGAGTCATTATTTTAGCTTTGATCTGGCCTCTTCTTGGAGGAAGTTTAACCGTCTTAGAAGCTGGTGATTCAGCATTTTCATTGGTTTTTGGCATTGCTTCAAATGAATGAGTTTTTGAGGATATACCTAGTATTGAACAGAAGCAGCAGATAGTTTATGGCAGAGACAAATAGTGAAAGAAACAACGCAACTCTGTCAAGTGTTTGGGACAAAAGTGAGGAGTATATTTATAATGCTGGAGAGTTGAGACATTAAGTATTGTTACATGGACCCTTTGGGCCCCAAAATGAAGTATGAGACGAAAACCTTAAAGTTAGTGCTGATTGATGACCCTTGAGAGAGTTTATAGTCATTTAAGTGATAAATAGGTTTTCTGCCATAAGATACAGTGATTAGTGGGGTGTCTTCCAGCTGTAGAGTGAAAAGTTTATATGATATAGGAAACATGATGGTAAACACCAAATCTATCAGCCTTACACATATCATAATGGTAATTTTAAGATCACAAATTAGTACAAAAATGTCTGCATTTTAAACACACCATTACGTCAAACTTGTTAATCTAAAGTCTAAAAAGGTGAGGACCTATCATGCTCTAATTATTATGTTATACTAGTTCAGGTGATACTTTATCTCACCTTAAAATTAGAAATTTATCAAGACATTTTAGAAGTCTAAATTAGTAAATCTTACTTTATTTTAATTTACAGACTTGATTAGCTTTAGAATTTTTCTCCAGAATATAACACTTTCACTTAACTCATGTCAATGTGATACAAACACATAATTACTATATAAGTTGCTTGAAAATAGACTGAAAATGGAAGCATGAGACAAGATAAAACATCTGGGACGGTTGGATAACACACTAGAGACCAAAGTCAAGTCCTTGCTCTAGTGACCAGACAAACTTGAAAATAAGAGAAATTCTTACCCAATGAATAGGATTGGACATTCTTTGGTGTCACCCATAATAGGGACCCAATTGTGACTCATTCAAAAGGGTAGACAAGCCTTACGTGTATTCCTTTGGGGAGGGACCACAAAAACTGTGGATACGTGGAAGACAAAGCCATACCACATATGGGTTCACTGGCTCGAACATGAAACACACATTACACAAGGATCAGTTAGAACTTAGAACTCTGCTAAACAATTGGATTTTGAATGCTGGTGCTGGCCATTCTCCATGAACCTTGAGTCATAATTTCATAAACTCTGTCACAATGGGAATTAATAGAGCCGTCCCATCCATAATCCTGAGACATGTCTCATCCTTGTTCTTAGTAGCTCAAGCCTCCTTTTGATCAATGTCCTTGTGTTGCTCAGTTTGATATAGATTTTTGCACCTTAAAGTGTTCGTACTTGAGAGAATGTTGGCTGAAACAATACGTGTCATCAACAAATAGAAAGGGAAAGTCAATGAAGGAGACAAAAATGAATAAGGCAATGTTGAATAGGACTCAATGTTCATTCATGTCATTGCTTTCACCCAATATGCCCTACTTAATACAATAGAAAATAACGATCTCCAAACCAAGTTAAATACTTTTGTGTTAATGGCTCGTGCAGCATTTATTATGCAGATTATCATCAAGCTTGTCTATAAATATTATTATTATGTATATTTGTAATAATTTTTTATTGTAATTGATAGAATAGTTGTTACAATTTTTTCCTATTGAAAATAAGTTGTAATTGATAGATTTTTAGGCTAAACTTCATGACTCCTATTATTTGACCTGTAAAACAATTGTTGATTAACCTATTTAACCAGAAAAAAAAAGAGTAGAGAAGTGACACATTTTTCCCATAACATTTTTTACTCTTTTTCTTGGCATCTTTTAATTTTTGACATGATATTATAGCTAGTGAAAACTTAAAATCATTACATGTTCGTTTCACTTAGAAAAAATTATTTTTTAAAGAAATTTTAGTTTAAATTATTGGTCAAAAAAAAAAAAAGAATGAGATGATATTAACAAGAATGATTCAAAACTTAAAGAAACATAGAACTTGACTAAGTGGGAGGTCAAAGATACACGTGTCATGAGTTAGATAATTAATTCCGTTGAATCGCACTTGGTTCTTAATCTGAGGCTACACAAGATTGTCAAAGAAACGTGACAGTATTTGAAAAGGGTATACTGTCAGGACAATGTAGTAAGGAGATTACAGTTGGAGTATGAGTTGGGAAATTTGATACAATGGGGTCTTTTAATTAAAAATTATTATTCAAGTTTTCAAAACTTATGGACTGATATCATTGTTGCTAATTTTCTTACTGAAACTTTCTCTGATGTCTAAAAGGTCTATAAAACCTGCAAAAGAGATTAATTTTTGATAAAATTAATATATGAATTTGAAACTATTTATTCTTGTATGATTAATAGTGCCCCTGTACCCTCCTTAGATACTTGCCTAGGTGAACTCCTTCGCAAGAGCAACAAATTATTATTTAAAGAGCGATAATCATAAAGTAACTAGTACTCCTGTTGATGTGGCTTAGGCTGCACCAGGGCGAAACCAAAGCATACAATGCAATGCTATAATCGTAAACGATTTGGACATATTATTAAGATTATCCACAAAACATTTGCAGCTATTGCACCGAGGAAATGAGCTGTCTTTCATATCTCTGCATCTGTTTCGACCAAACAAGCATCTTCAATGTCCAATCCTACCGATTGGTGTCGATTAAAAATATGAATAGTATTTTTCAATTCAAATTTGTAGTATTTAGTATTATATAATAAAAAAATATAATTACAAAGTTGCCATTGCATTTACTTCTGTTCTGTTGTCACGCCTAGTCTCATTTTGAAAAATTGAATCCCCTGTTCGCAATTGGTGTTGGGGCATGTTTTTTAAAAGAAACATAAATATATTTGTAAACATGATTTTGAGTTTTCCATATTTATATTTACCTAAAACTAAATGTAACTGCCAGAAATAAGTAAAGACAAAAAACATAAATAATAATAATTATTATTATTATAAAAAAAAGAAAATAAGTATGCATAGCACGTAATGAAAAATGACCATAAAATAAACAGTTGAAGTGCATAAAATGACAGTAGCCATTGAATACTAAAACTCTCCTTACTCGGTAACTTCGACTTCACAGTTCACACACACTGTCTGTAAACAAAATGGTGGGAGGGGCAGCAAAAAGCTTCAATAATATGTGTTCATCTTTTCCATTCACAACCAAAACCAAAACCCAAACCACAATGCCCTCTAATTTCTCCTACCCTTCCACTCGCTCTCGTACCATATCAGCGGTGGCTAGCCAAATCCAGCTTCCACCCCCCGCCACTGAGTCAGCCACTCCGGGTCAGTACCGAGTCGACGTCCTCTCCGAATCGCTCCCTTTCTTTCAGAAATTCAGAGGTAAAACCATCGTCGTCAAGTACAGAGGCGCAGCCATGAAGTCCCCGGAACTCCAAGCCTCCGTCATCAACGACCTTGTCCTCCTCTGCGTCGGCCTCCGCCCCGTCATGGTCCACGGTGGCGGCCCCGAGATCAACAACTGGCTCAACCGACTCAACATTCCCGCCGTCTTTCGCGACGGCCTCCGCGTCACCGATGTTGACACCATGGAAATCGTCCTCGTCGGCAAGGTCAATAAAACGCTCGTCTCGCTCATCAACAAGGCCAGAGCCACCGTTTTCGGCCTTTCCGGCATGGATGGCCGCCTCCTAACGGCGCGCCCTAGCCCTAAAGCCGCAGACCTAGGATTTGTCGGCGAGGTTTCAAGAGTGGATCCAACCGTTCTCCGATCGTTAGTCAAAAGTAACCACATTCCGGTGGTGACGTCGGTGGCGGCAGATGAGTTCAGACAGCAGAGTTTTTATTAACCATCTCCAATGCATTTTGGGATACTTTAGTTAAATTTAGGAGCAGTCCTTGTCCATGCATAAATGTCCTGTTATTCAGAACACAAAAGTTAACCAATGTTTGGCCTAAGGATGTAAAACACGTTCAATAAATTTATTAGAAATAGACTGGCCTAATTTACTCATAAAAGCTAGCTCATAGCTCAAAGGAGTAGAATTGCTCAAGTTTTTTATAAGGAATTTTTCATGACAAACACTCTATGCCACTACTAGACTTCAATGTGAAACGCAGGTTTATAAAGGGCCTAATCAAACTGTGATAAATCTGTCTTCCCTTTATGTGCTTCTTCGTCGGAATCCAGTAGGTCTTTGTTTCAATATTTGCTTTGTAGTTAAGCCCCTGCTTTCTAGAATAGCGTGGCTAGCCACTCTAGCTAACCACCTGCTGCAGCGAACACCCTTGGGATAAGAAACTGCAGCAGGGCTTGAGTGTGCTTCCGAATTTCCCGACTCCCTCCCTCTCGATATCATCATCATTTTCTTCCTTGTTGCTACTTTGATTCTTAATCTCGTGACCAGTGTCGTCACCATCATCTGATATTAGGAGCACTTGCCCTTTGGAACCACTGTCTATTGAAATGTCCATTATGTTGGATTTATCTTCTGATCCTTTGGTTTTACCTTGGTCAGCAACTAGAGACTTTTTCCTTTTATTGAACAAATCAAAAAGAAGAAATTAGAAATTATAAAAGCAAAGTCAGATAGTGATGGACAACACATACATATTAGAAAATTGAAACTATAAATGTGAATGATTGCAAGTTTGTTGAGTATAACCATTGTTTGGACACCTTAGGGTAATGTCACGAGCCTTTGTGCTAAAATGGGACAGTTAGTTATAATAGAATGGTATGTGGTACGATGATGGAAATTACCACATGAAGCAACATAAGAATGATAAAAGGTGGAGAATTATGTGGAGCTCTAAACCTTTCTCTCTGCTTGTATTCCCTCTCCTCTGAAACTAACTCTTCTTGTTCATGGTTATCACTCTTGTTGGTATTCTCATGTTTGATGAATAAAACATCACTGACGTTTGTATCATTTGATCTGAAAAGTAGTTGAGCAGCTGCCACCTGTCATTACAAAATGCATGGTGACTAAAAACAAAGCTATATTCCGACACTAGTCACTGCATTCAATTCTAAATTGAATCTTCATTATTAAACATTTAACATGTGATTGTCTTTAAATTTTCAACATGCAGAGATATTCAACTCAAATGTAAACAACAATAATCAGTAGAAATGCACTCAACCATATTTCAATACACTAACAGCATTCAATTCTAAGTTCGAATCTTCATTATTAAACCTACACAAATGACTGTCTTAAATTTTTGACTTGCAGAAATATTCAGCTCAAATTTAAACACTAATAATAAGCATGGAGAACCAGAAATGCACTCGACCACGCAAAATTTGACACCTATAGCATACCAAACAAAAAGCACGACAAAGCTTAATGAATACAGCAGAGCATACGCCGAAGCATACCATACATAAAATGTATTCAAGTTCTTTGTGATCAGAAACAAAAGCACACACTTTCTTTAGAAATAAACAACTATTTATCCAGAAACAGACATGGTATTGGTATCACATCAAAATGAAAGATCAAGGGAAATTGGTTGTCTAGATATGAAAACTCCAGCAGCAAAGTGAAGCTCACCCGAAAAGAAGAAGAAAATCAAAGAATGGAAATACTTAGAAATTAACAGCAATCACAATTGTAGAGCAGCTTTTGTTATTATTGCCACCATTTAATTTATGGAGATTCTTGGAACTTGGAAGTCCCATTTGTAATTGAAAAAAATTGACGAGCAAGTAAGAAGAAAATGATATTGGAGTTTCAAAGCTTATGGGTTATGACATGTGAGGCAAAGAGCCTAAATATCATGTTCTCATTATATCCAGTGTTAAGATTCCAATTCGGGACAGGCTTATGCAAATTTGGATCTAACGAGTAACGACTATTTTAAATGGATTTAAACTGTGATCCAGATATTTATCCATAAAATTTTTATAGAAATGGATGTAAGCATGATTGTTTCAGTATGTATCCTTTCCCATAAATATTAAAATTATGCTTATAACTTACTCATAAAAATATGAAAATGGATTAAAAAACTGGAATTAAGAAAAATGAATAAAAAGTAGGCACTTGATGAATCCACAATTTATTAGATTTTTACTTATCTTTTTAGTGTTCTTTAATAGAAAAAATAGATTTAGGAAGTGTAAATAACATAAAAACATCATTTTGGTCAAATTTCATAGGTTTCTTAATTTTTGGTTAATTTACATTGATTTACATAGATATAATTTGTAATTTTGATCATTTGAATAATTATGCAAGAATTTCTAAACTCATTACATGGATTTTTAGCCTTTGAGAAATTTTGAGTTGAAAGTGACCACTTTCAGAAGTGATAGTGGACACAACAGCAAGCTAGATCCAAAGGGCAGGCCAGAGTAACCATTTTCAGAAGCAATAGTGATCACTCCAGAGCCAAAAGAAACAACCAGATCTGCGCGTGTTTACTCTCGAAAACGATAGTAAACACTCCAGAGAGCCCCAGAGTTCAGAACCATGCACATGTTTACTCTTGTGAACGATAGTAATCACTATGCTCAAGAGTATTCACTGTCGTGAACGAGAGTAACTACTCTGAAGGTATCAACTTTTCTATATATGAATTTTTACCATTTAGGATAAAAAAAGAGGGGAGGAGAGCTTTTACACACTTTAAGATTGCTTACCAATTTAGGAACACTTGCAGAGCCTAGAGTGGCCTTTGGTGACAGCCAAGGGTCCAACCTAAAGTTTGATTTCCATTTTCTCCTTACTTCTCTTTGATTTTTGTATTGATGTTATTGATTTCTCTTTACTTTCATTTTGTAATTGTGAGACCCATCCTCATGGAGGGTTAATTTTCTTGTAATCTCTAGTGAGTTCATATGGATTCTTGAATTCTTAGGTTTTTGAATGTCAATGCAAATCTTTTTCTTACATGAATTTCTTCCTCCCAAACTCTTGAATTGAATTAATAGTTGAATGAGGGGAGCATTGTGTAATGAACCCTAATTTGTTTTAAGGAAATTCTAAATTTGAATTGCTTAATTCTTGTTTAATTCTAATATTGCATAATCAAGGAATGAGAGATTGAAGTTTATTGGATTACTTAATTCATATGAAAACATAAGGTTGATTTTCACTTGTTAAATCAACCTAATTCTGGGGGGAGAGGAAGAATATTAAATCTTGAGAGGAATAGGGATAGAGTTTATATGAATGAACTAGGGGTTACTACATTTTATCGATTGAACTTTACAATTTAATTTTCTGCTTAAGTTGATTGAACTTGAAATCACAAAACTCCTTTTTTTACTTGCTTTCTAAATACATTGCATACTACATGTTTGATATTTGATCACTCGTCCAATGATTCATGGGAGACAACCTAGGCTTACATCCTAGACTACATAAATTTTTCTGCATATTTTAATGAAAGTTGACAACAAATCTTTTTGCAAATGAGAAAATATTTCGTTCATCAAATATAACAACTTATTCAAAAAAGATTTGGATTTACTTAAAAATTATTTTATGACAATAATTTGATACCATTAGTTGATAAATTCGGTTTTGCTTTGTTTGTAATTTGGTCCTTAAATATAAAAATTGCGAATAAAGTTGTCGTGCTTCACATGGGTGTGGTATCTTTCTTGGGACTTGTTACACAGGGTCCAATCTAATTTTTATTTTTATTTCAATTCTTTCATCTAATATAAAGACAATTGTTTTATTTGTTTTCTAAATTTATTATTATTTTTGTGTCAATTTTTTAATATTATAACTTTTTAATATAAAAACAATTAAATAATTTAAAAAAGATTTCAAATTGAATATTTCTGTTATAATTTTTAATTGATAACATCCAAAATAAAAATTTTAAAAGAGAAACGGTTGCAATTCAAAAATATAAAAATAAAATTGTTAACATTTATACTGTAGTTAATTTTGTAAAAAAAATTATTTTTGTTTTTTTTTCAATTTTAATTTTTTAATCAAATATTTATTAATTAAAATTAGTTGAATTAAACTTATCAATTTTATAATATATTATACAATTTATTTTATTGTTATTTTAAATTAAACAAAAAATATTTTAAAATAAAAATGAGAATTGAAGAAATAAGATAAAAAATTTGGGAAAACTAAAATTTTAAAACATCAAATTTCAATATTGGTAAAAAAAATTGAATTAAACATTTTTCCATATTTGTATATTTATACTATTATCATCCAATTAAAATGATTTATTTAGTTCTTTCACTTAATCTAAATTTTTTTATGTTTTGCAATTTTATTTATTTGTTTTTATTATTTCTGAATGCAAAATACTAATATTATATTTTAAAGATTTCAAAATATTAAATGGTTGAAAAATAGATATAAATTAAATATTTTTTATACATTTTTATCAAATTTAGCTTATAACATGCGCACGAAATAACATTTATAGAGAACAAAAATGATAAATTTAATATAAAATTGTTGTAAAAGAGTGAGAATTTCTTAATAAAATATAAACAATAAAAACCTTAAGGGAGAAGTAAACTTTCTGGAACAAGTAAATCAAAACTTAAATTTTTTTTATATTTTAAATATGAACAAGATTGAGCACACATCGGCCACTAAATGCTAATAGTTGGGTGATCACATGTCATCTGTTGTTTAGTGCGATTGTTGGATGTTTGGAAGCACAATTCAAAGTGAATTGAGGAATGCTTCAAAGATCTAATCATTGGTTATGGTGTAGTCAATCACCTTTGCAGTTTGAGTACATACTCCCAATGTTTTGTATACAACTCTAAAACCTTCAACTTATTCTATTAATGACCTTAAATCCATTCCAATAGACACCTAGTTTTACTGAAGGAGGAAGGAGCCAAATACAAAACGATTGAAAAGGTTTAACAGTAAACTTCAATTGTTAATATTGATGAAAAAGAACACTCTTTCCTTCAAATTTGCTCAACACTAAACTGAAAATAACAGTGGTAAGCTCAACGTTTATTAATGGGAGTCGGCAGGGAGAGTGGAAAGAGTTGAGAAGTGGATAAGTAGCGTCCACGTGTCGGTGTGGCGTTGGAGAGAGAAAGCTTGCGTAGTAAATGGGTAACAAAAAACGGTGAAGTTGTGAGGGTGTGGAACGTTAACAAGGACCACAAACAATTCAATTATTGAGAGCCGCAAGATCCTTGTGGCCCATCCCAGCCATTCAACACCTTCCCTTAAAACTAGTGGACCGGAGCCCTCCGACCCCACTCCCTCGCCGCCTCCATCGACCACACATCCCTCCTCAACCACACTCCATGCATACAAATACATTATAAATACTCTTTTTATTATCACATTTTTTCAATATTTCAATATACATCTTTTTTAATAATTATTGTGCTAATATTTAAATATTCAATATAAAAATAGAAACCTTATAAATATAGTTTTTATGCTAATTATTATAAAAATTAAAGGTGCAATTTGGTCAACAAAGCACGTGAGTAGACTAATAAGGTTGGCTCACCTAATCGTATTACAATTGTTAAGGTTTGGTGGATACGTTAAATAGCGAACTGTGGTTGCTGATATGGACAATTAACAAGCTCTTATTGATTTAATATTTTTGAATGAAACTAAAAATATAAGAATTTGTAACCTTGCATTTTGATTTGTTTTATTTGGAAGTGTATAAAAAAATATTGATATGTTTTGGTTACGATAGGAGGAGAATGTGTGCGTATGGTGTATGAAACGAGAGGACAATATTCTGTCGTGATGGGACCGGACAAGGGACGATGAAATTGGCGTAGTGGAAGTTGTGTTGGGACAATTGCTCGGTCTGAAATTGTGCACCGCACATATGCCCGCCACATTCATCACAGTTTCTCTCTCTATCTCTAACACTTCAAACTTAGTCTATGGTCGTTGTGGCGGAGCATGAACTCCAACACTTGCAATTCTCAGTCAATGGCTACATCAGCACCACACACTGATGGGTCTGGCAAGAAGGTTAGAAAGCCTTACACCATAACCAAGTCAAGGGAAAGCTGGACTGAGGAAGAACACGACAAGTTTCTCGAAGCTCTTCAACTGTTAGTCTCATTTTGTGTTCTATTTCCAATTTTATTCTCAACTCTTCAATTACTTTGGCAGCCTTTGCTTAAAGTCCCTGTAAAATTGTCTGACGTGTTAATGATGTTGTAGATGTAGCATCTATGGTTTTAATTGCATGAAGTAATCTGCAATTCAATTAGTTACATGATCTTGTGGATTGTTCAGATTTGACAGGGATTGGAAGAAAATTGAAGATTTTGTAGGTTCTAAAACAGTTATTCAGGTTAGGAGAGTGGTTTTTGGTTGTGTTTGTATTCTATTCAGGCATTGTTTGTGACTAACTAGTAACTTTTCCAGATTCGAAGCCATGCTCAAAAATACTTCTTGAAAGTTCAGAAGAATGGGACAATAGCGCATGTGCCTCCTCCTCGTCCTAAGCGCAAAGCTGCTCATCCTTACCCACAAAAGGCATCAAAAAATGGTTTGCTTCTATTTGAGATGGTGATATTCTGTGTCCCTAAAAGTACAATATTTCATGCATCCCTGACATGCTAATTTCTGGGTTTTCCAGTTTTGGTGCCAATTCCAGCTTCCATTGGTTATCCTTCTTCGACAAATACACTTGCACCTGGCTATGCCACATGGGATGAGACTTCCCTGCTTATGAATGCTGGATCTGGTAAATCCATGACATGTCAGGATGAACTCAACAAGCTTCATGGAAATGAAGGCATGCATACTTCTTTTTATAGCTGTTTGTTTGAATTTTGAAGTCAATAGTCTTTACTGTACTAAATGGAACTGTCCACCACTTATTATGTTATATGACGTTACTGATTCAGCTGATATTGGATCAAAGGGGATAACACAGATTACCAACAGTGGTCTTAGTGGTGTTGATAACTCTACCAGAACGCTACCGGCTTCTGAGATACCAAAGCAAGGGAAACAAGCTCCTATGCTTCATGGTAATCTGATATTTTGTTTTTTATTTTGCATTCATTTTCAGGTTGAATATAGTAACAGATGGTTATTTGTAATTTTGACCTTATTTCTCAGGTTTGCCAGACTTTGCTGAAGTTTACAGTTTCATAGGGAGTGTTTTTGATCCAGATACAAACGATCATGTCCAGAAGCTGAAGGAAATGGATCCTATAAATTTTGAAACTGTGAGTGGAATATTTGAATGAAACTTATCATCATTTAATACGATATACAACCCCTCCCTTCTGATAGAAGTAGTTTCAGTGGTAAAACTTTAGCAGTATAATTAGACAGGTATTCATTCACTTAAAAAACAATCAAAACATAACTTCCAGGATGCATCTCAATTTTATTATGAACAACTGTTCTTCCTCTCAAAGAAGAATTAGGAAGTTTGATGAGGCCATTTGAGGAACATAATTTTTATGTGCTCATGATAGCATAAAATGATATAGCCTTTCTGTTTGACTATTCTACTTGAGGTGTGTTGATCCTTTTGGTTCAGAATAAGGTCAGTAAACCAATTGCCTAGGGAAGAAATCCTATGATAGTATTTTGAATCATTGAGTCAAAGCATGATTTGAAAGGAAAAAATAAACGTGAGAAGAACCTTGTTGCTGGAATTTGACTGTTCTGAATGTCTTCCAAGACATGTCAAAATTTTCCTTTAAATTAAAATTTACTGTAAGAAAATATAAAATCATTTATTTTCCTTCCCCTATCAGCTTAAGTTTCGGGATAGTTGGTTCATAATATGGTATTGGCACTTCTAGGACCAAATGGTGTGAAATTCGGTCCTTGCCACCCTCATTCGTCTAGCAAAAGATTGAATTTAAATTAAGGTTAGGTGAGCTCGTCCATTGTGCACACTTTAAGCTCAAGGGGATCTTGCATGAGGGGGTTCGTATTTTCACCTGATATCTTAAGCTCGAGATAATTGGTTCATGACATTTACCTTTTCTTTAACTGTGAGTGAACCAAGCAAGTTGTTGTTGTCAGGTATAGCTAGGTTCCCACGATAAAAGTTGTGGTCAATATAAACTTCCAAGTTACAATAATGGCATAAGTAATGCTGCTTGCCTTTTATGATTCCTTTTCGTTGTGAAGTAAGGAACATTGTACTATAGTGAAATATAAGACCGATTGCTCCATTCCTTTATAGTTCGAAATAGTTTGCCTCAATAAGGCTGAGTATGTTATTTTATTTAAGTGTATTGGGGCAAGATAAGGTGACATGATATAGCTAATCAAAATGTCATGGGAGATGCCTATATTCGGCTGTTGATTTTTCTCTGCTGGAAAGCTGTGTATAAAGTTTGTTAAAGCTATATTATATGTTTACACTAAAGGATGGCTTCTATGCATCTAACCAGAAATGCTGTTAGTCCAAATTGACATTTAATGAGCTTTTAAATCTCGTTGCCAACATAATGATCAACATACAATAACATGTGAGCTTAATATCATAGTTTTCTAGTTCATGACTTCTGATATATGCCTGGAATGGTACGAGTTTATGAATGGAAATGTGAATACCATTTTCTCAAAAGACCCAAAACATATTACATTTCCTGAGCTTTCTTTACTCGTCTGTCTTCACAAAGGGAGTAGTTACAATTTCTTTCACCCATATAATGGCCTTATTCTTCCTCAGCTCATATTCCCTTATCTTCCCTCTTTCTGCCACCAGAAAAGCAAAATGAGGCAAAAAGGGACTAATGAGTAAACAAACTTTTTTATTTTTCAATTTGTGGTTTCTGACTTGTGTATATTTGGTGTTCTTCTGCAGGTTTTGTTGTTAATGAGAAACCTCACAGTCAACTTGTCTAGCCCCGACTTTGAGCCCATTGTAAGTTTCAATATCAATCCCCAATGACGATTATATAGTTTTTGCCACATATTTGCAGGAAAAAAGTTATTCTATTTTAAAAAGAAAAGTAGTTGTATTCTTTTCAAGTATTATTTAGTTTGAATTAAATGATCTGCACTATCATGTAATCTGATTAATCTCATCTAGTTACTGTGGTTCATAGAGGTAAAATGCCAAATCCACAGATATCATTCTGATTTTGCTATATGTAGGGTGAAGTACAACCCCGTCTTCTTGAAGTTTTGCGTTTCTGAACAAATTGAAAGAGCATTATTAATCCTGTTAGAAGTATGATATAAGATAATTCACGTGTCCTTCACCTAACAGCTTTAGCTTTTGGGATTGCTGGTTCATGACATTGTATCTATAGCTCTTTTGCTGCCCCCATTCTTTCAATATTAAAGTTTAATTATAGACCAATGTATTGTATACACTTCTAGCCCAAACGACTCTTGTATGGGGGGCATGTGTTAGAAATATTATATAAAACCCTTTATGTTTTCACTAAACCGCTTAAGCTTTTGGGATTGCTGGTACAGACTACAGACAATTCCTTGCTTGTGAATCTTAATCTTCATGGTTATGCACAATTTGTTGTCATTATCACTACGCAACTTGTAACTCAAAATACTAACTTTCTTACTACAATAGATAAGCCCAAACAGGAATACGTTCAAAGGTGGTCCTCCCTCCTTGGCTCCTTCTGTAAGAAGTTTTCACTTTTCAATGACGTGCTAGGATTACCATATTATAGTTATTGGCGCATTGATTTTTGAATAGCTCCCAATTACTTGATAAATTCAAGTAGTTGTTATATTAATATTTGTGAATTAATTTCATGAGTTGTTTAGACTGCTAACACTGCACAATAAAATGAGTTTTTATTGAAAATACCTACAAATTAAGAGCATCTGTTCAGATTTCATAAAATTATGAGACACTTGTCTTTTAAATTACAATTTTTTATTTAAATATATTAACTTTTGCAATAGGTTCCCTAATCCCAAATAAGCTGAAAATAAGCCTTCCAGACAAGGCCTAAACACCCTTCTTCAGAAAACCAAAAAATATGACGAGCTTCACCTGAAGTTAATATATTTCAAAAATATAAATGCACCTATCACAATATCTGTCTGTTGAAGACAGTGATTGTCCTATGTTACTAACAGGATTAAAATAATGCAACAACATCAAACTTCACCTCAGTTTCTTGACCCTCCGTTAATGACTACTGAATGCCTATCTCTTTGCTTCATTCTTGGATAAAGAAACTAAGGCAGAATAAAGAGTTAGTGATGCTTATTCATTCTCATGAACTTGTTTTGATGAATGAAAATGGTTAAAACTGATTTTTAAATAGGGGATATGAGATCTGACTAGTGTACCTTTATTTTTTTTGTTCAGAAGAAGGTATTGTCAACATATGATGTCAATAACATGGCAGTAGGTGTTGCAGCAGGAATTGATATCAAGAAGCGGACAAATAATCTATCATGTTAAACTACTTAACCCTGGCAATTTGTTCATTTGGTATGACTTTTCTGCTTCTCATATTCCTTTTTCTTTATTATGTAGTTTTCTTTTGTTTTCATATCTGTTTTTATTTAACATCTCATTCTACAGTTAGGTAGGTCAAATTTGGATGGAAGACTGAGGTTTTACTCGGCCAGAAGTAAGGCATGGGAGTATTATCTTGCACTTGCTGTAAAAGCTTGTAAATGTGACTGTAGTCCTTTGTAGCCACAGCCAGAATAGTATATGTTAGAAAGCTGAAAAACAAAACATATTTTTCAGCTGGTTCTATGGTCCATAACAATTGTTGTATTGCAGTGATTTTCTTAGCTCTTTTAGAGATATTGCCTTTGACTAGACCCATAGGTTTATATTATGAGATAATTTTTAATGGTACAGATGTATCAAAATATTAGAAAAATAGGGAGGGGGTAACTATTGTCTATTTGTCAACGTGGCTTTTTGTAGCCAAACATGTGTATGTAAAGTCACACTTTGACACACTTCATTTTCGTGTTTCAGTTTTGTGAGTCTTTGTTTGCCGGTTGAATGGCTCTCTTCATTAGATTAGTTTTTGGTAGGATCATTTTCAATGTAAAGGGCATCTCTCAATTTTTTTCTAAATACTAATATTTTCTTACTGAATCAAATCCAAATAGAATTGACCTCATTTTTTTTTCTCTTTTGGATTGCAACATCAATTTAGCAAGTAATATCTTATCAATAAGTCATTCATTCCAACAAGCAGTAGTGATTTGGGTTTAGATCAGGATACAAGAGCATGCTATAGGCAAAAATTATTTATATTAAAAATTGAATATAATATATATTAATTTAGCTTATTGGTACATTATTTTTAATCCGATTAATTTTCTTAATGATGAAATTCGTTTGGTTATTTTGAATTTATTGATCTCAATATTTTTGTCATAACACCGGCGTCGAAGGATTTTTCTTTTATCATGTGAAATACCTTAAACAGTGGAGTGTGTACAATTTATTCATTTAACAGGTTTACCACGATTTACAAATATGATTTTGTGTGTGTTAGGCAGGATGAATTTTTCTTCGTTAATTCCTCATTAAACTTTTTTTTGGGTAAACCATTTATTACACTAGTTTAAGTCCTTTTTCTTTTTCTACATATTTAAATATTGTTTTAACTAGTTGACATCCTCTCAAAACATACTTTTACTAGTGACATTTTTGCATTAAATAAAGTTACCACTTTATCTTTGTGCGGCTTCAATTTAAACCTGCCCTTTAAAGAAACAAGCGTTGATTAGGGGTAGGATTAGAAGTGTCATATGCTGATCCCCCCCCTTCTTTTGTGACATGAAAATTGCTATTTGCACCCTCTTTTATTTAAATTAATTTCTTTTTGTTATTTTCAAAATTATTAAATACATTTTCAAAAAAATTCTAAAAACTATTTACGAATCACTTCTAAAATTTTATTTTCAAAATATGCTGAAAAAACTTTAAAACATTTATAGAAAAACAAAAAAAAAATGGTACAACTAACAAATAAAAGTGATTCAAAACGGATATTCTCCACCTCCAAAAAAAAACCACTTCAAAATAATTTTTATGAATAATTAAAGAATTCTTTTTGTCAAAAAATAATCAAATAGTCCAACCTGGGAAAATAACCCCCTCCCCTATGAAAAGACTAAGCCCATAAATCTCGGGCTAAAGTACAAATTCAAGCCCAAATAAACACAGGCCCGAAAGGTAGAAAACCCTAAAAGGTGCAGCTCTGACAACTGCTAATTTGAGGGGCAGTATAAATTCATCGCTTCACACAATCACACTCTTATCACACAGCCAAAAACCCTAGGTAGATCCCTCCCTCACTCTCCAGCAATGGCCGCAGCAGCACGACCCCTCGTCACCGTGCAAAACCTAGAGGGTGACATGGCCACCGACGCCGCCGCCACTGTCCCAATCCCCGACGTCATGAGGGCCTCAATCCGCCCCGACATCGTCAACTTCGTCCACTCCAACATCTCCAAAAACTCCCGCCAACCTTACGCCGTCAGCCGCCGCGCTGGACACCAAACCTCCGCTGAATCCTGGGGAACCGGGCGTGCCGTCTCCCGTATCCCCCGTGTTCCCGGTGGCGGAACTCACCGCGCCGGCCAGGGAGCCTTCGGCAACATGTGCCGCGGAGGTCGCATGTTCGCCCCGACCAAGATCTGGCGCCGCTGGCACCGCAAGATCAACGTCAATCAAAAACGCTACGCCGTGGTCTCCGCTATCGCCGCCTCCGCTATCCCCTCCCTCGTCCTCGCACGCGGCCACCGCATCGAGTCCGTCCCTGAACTTCCCCTCGTCGTTAGCGACTCTGCCGAAGCCGTTGAGAAAACTAAGGAAGCCATCAAAGTTCTGAAACAGATCGGAGCCTTCCCTGATGCCGAGAAAGCGAAGGACAGTCACGGCATTCGCCCCGGTAAAGGTAAAATGCGTAACCGTAGGTACATTTCCCGTAAGGGTCCTCTCGTCGTTTACGGAACGGAAGGAGCTAAGGCCGTTAAGGCTTTCCGTAACGTCCCTGGCGTTGAGGTTGCCAACGTGGAGAGGCTTAACCTTCTTAAGCTTGCTCCTGGTGGACACCTTGGAAGGTTCGTGATTTGGACCAAGTCTGCTATAGAGAAACTGGACTCTATTTATGGGTCGTTTGATAAGGCCTCTGAGAAGAAGAAGGGGTATCTACTTCCCAGGCCCAAGATGGTTAATTCTGACCTTGCTAGGATCATTAACTCTGATGAGGTTCAGTCCGTTGTGAGGCCCATTAAGAAGGATGTGAAGAGGGCAACTCTTAAGAAGAACCCCCTTAAGAACCTTAATGCTATGCTTAAGCTCAATCCTTATGCTAAGGCTGCTAAGAGGATGGCGCTTCTCGCTGAGGCCCAGCGTGTCAAGGCTAAGAAGGAGAAGCTCGATAAGAAGAGGAAGATTGTCTCCAAGGTAAATGTTTGGAACTTTGTTTTAAAGTCAATTTATGCATTTTTTCGGGTTGTTTTGTTTGCTTATTGATTATTATAGTTTCATTTTTCTGTGTTTTTTTGGGTTTATTTTGTTTTTGTCTGCTTGATCTTGATATTCTTTCTAAGAAGGGAGTGTGGGGTAATTGCAATTTAGTTTGAATTGGATTTTTTGGTGTTTGTAGTTACCCTGTTGCTCATTTAATTCATTCATTTATATGGTTTTATCGTGCTTGTTGATGTTGATATTGTAATATTGTGCCAATGCATGCATGTCTTCGTAGACAATTTTCAGTTTATCTACTGTGAATTATTGTGCATAATCTTCAGTTGATTTAATGCACCTGGTGTTGCAATATTTTTTTTTAATTAACAAATTACCAAATGGGCTGATTGTTCTTTTATTTTGTATATTATGATATTTCTTGTCATACTGCTAGTTACATATAGTTTTTTATAATAAGCTTTCTCTTTGAATTCTGTACTAGGGGAAAGTTTCAATATCGTTTCAATTGTGCTAATTTCAGCTGCATTGGAATTCTACTATTATAACTATACGTGTCATGTGAAATTGTCAATAATTTACTAGTCAGAGGCATTTAATTTCTCTATCATATTATGTAATGTGTTTTGGATATACTTAATTGTTCAGTAAGTTAATCATTTTGAGAGCTTCTTATGAACTTTCATTACGCCTTTGACCCTATAGGCATTACATGTGAACTATGTTCATTGTATTGTAAATTTTATTAGTTTGCTACATATTGTTCATAATTTCAAATTGACATTATTTTGCCTCGTTCATTTCAGGAGGAAGCTTCTGCCATCAAGGCTGCAGGAAAAGCATGGTATCACACAATGGTGTCAGATTCTGATTACACAGAATTTGACAACTTTTCTAAGTGGTTGGGTGTTTCACAGTGAAGTCTTTCATTTATATTCTCGTATTAGATTTTTGTTTTGTATGCTTATCTGAACTAAATATTTTTGGCTTTTTTGTTTTTGCTGGTTAACGTTATCATAATATCATGAGACTATATGGAAATTTTGTTTGTTGGATTTTAGTGCAAATTCTGCTTGTCTTACGTTTAGCAGCTACATTTATACTTCTGTTTTCTTAAAAAAATTATAATCCAGTTGTATGTTACTTTTTTATGTCAAAGTCTTTAAATTCTCTTTATTCGTGGAGAATTGAACGGGATTTATAACCTATGTTGTTTAATCTGTAACAACGATCGGGTTAATACAACAAGTTAATAGAAAATTGTATCCTTAAGTCCGTGGAGGAGTTCACAGAGTAAGTCCGTCTAGTTTCAGTTGCCCTTCCCTCTCTCATCCAGCAAATGATTAAGGTTTATAGAGCATCTTGTCAGATAATACGCTAGAAGTAGGTGCTCTATCTCTCGGTGTCATCTTTGTTTTGCTTGCAACCTCTGCTAATCACTATAGTCAAAGATGTCAACGAGAGAATGTTAAATTCAAGCAAGAGCTATAAAATTCATTCGAACGACTGAAATGAAATTAATGTAATTATTTGAATCTGGTACTATTTAAAATTGCTTGAATGTTAATGTTTTAAATTTAATGGATTAATATCCGTGGCATTCGTTATTAGTGATATAGTAACCCAATTAATCCCCTGGGTTCAGATGTCCTTATAGCAATCACCAGAAAGTTTTTTTTTCAAAGCTAGTATCAAGAAAAGTAGAAACAAAACGAAGTAGGGTAACGAGGGGAACGGTTCCTGAACGTTAACATTGTAGTTTAACTGTGATCTGTAAATGCACTAAAAATTCTTCCATATTGACTCAAGCCAATCTCACTGCGGCGTCGTGATTTTTGCAATCATTAGTGGTGCTACAATTTTGTCAAGTTAACATACTGCATTCGCTGAATTTTGATTGTGTATTTTGGATTGTGGTTGGGTTATACTTTAGTTTACTCGAGTTAGCCTGTAATTTCACAATATTTTGAAATTTATAATTATTTTTAACAATTTAAACAAAGTCAAAAACTAAAGTTTCTGATATTATAATTATTTTTACAATAGTAATGTTATCTTAAATTGTTTATTTAATATGTTCATGTATTTATGAAACGGGGTTTAGGTTTTCGCTTTCTTCCGGGTAAGTCTGAGTTCTTATAACAAGAATTGAGGTTATCATCAGCCTTTGATAGGTAGTCTCTTTTAAGGAATTCTATTGGCTTGTCTTATAATTGCAGACCTCTTTAAGCCTTATCGTTGTCTTCTTTTAGCAGTTTCGGTGCCGGTTTGCGTGGGTTGGTCCCCAAGGAATTAACTAAAATCTTGGTGGAGGTAATTACTTATCATGAGGGGTATGTATGGGCCTTTCTTGGTTTTGGTCTTCTTGGGCATTGGTTGTACTGCCTGGCTTATATAACAAAAAAATCTGGTTTTAATTGATGATACTTCTGTTACTAGTTTCATACCAATTGCTTATAAAAAAATATAAGCTAACATGGCTTGTTCCAAAAAGTCCCACTCCAAAACGGAGTCGTCAAGCTTTACCATGTTTGAGGTTGGTTGAATCTCAATTTCAAAGACCAAGGGTGGTCTATTTACTTTATCGAATAATCCCAAATCCTTTTACCATGTGTGTCATCAAATCGTCTTAACTATTGAATAAAAAATATTAAATATTTTTTTTTATATCTTCAAGACAAATATACACTTTTTTTAATTAATACTTTATAAAGTAAGAAAAAAATTACTAAAAGGCCTTCACCAGTCAAGCATGGCCGCAAAATGATTGACCCCAACTCTTCCTCTTTCTCAGCAAATGAAAAACTACAGTGTTTAATGAAGTGTTCGGATTCGATACATTCGTGTCCACGTCTTATTCTCCATTGTCACTTCTTTTCTCATTTAGATACATTAATCCTACGAATGTCCATCGATAATTAGACGGTCCATTGGTCAAACATTAGCTAAACTGATGAAATCAGTTAAATCTCGAGATAACTGAATCACTTTGATCGTAATTAAATGTGAATGAATGATAGTTTAATGGATCCAATTGTCAACCCTAAGTACAATCTAGCATCCGGTGTCACATGGAAGAGCATTAGTAACAAAATTCAAATATATATTCACATATATACATTAAGTATCAGTGGATAACAGAGACCTTCAATTTCAACATAAGTAACATTCGAGACAACAAATTATTTCAGGTCCCATTAAAACGTCAAATCCATTAAGGCTTATCATCTTAGCTCCCTGTCAGTTTCGGCAGTCTGATGGCATATACTGACCCACTGCAGAGAGGGAGAGAACAAATCATTATCCTAAACTATCAAATTAAATTCAAGGAAGAATCTCCTGTATGATTAATCCAGGCTTTCACTCTGCTATATATGTTACCAAAAAAACAAATATATTATATAGTCAAAGCATCATGCACACTTACCATAATTACCTCCAAGGCAAAGATAGTTCTCCAGTTATGTAACCCATAGAAAAAGTTGACAGTTTGCAGGTTCTCCCAACCATAATGAGGAAAACACCATATTCCAGCGCTTAGCAACAAGGCTAAGCGAAAAGGGAGGCTGATACTACTGACCATTTGATGGCACAATTGTGATTGGAGTTCAAAGTAACCAAATTCCAAAACTGATTGAATCGGGTCTCAAGGTGCCTCCACTACATGGTTTTACTAAAACATAACTTTAGCCAAATCAATCTTTGACATTTCACATCGGCCATTAGCGCATTAAAGTGGAATTGAATTACAGTTGAAACAAAATCACCAACATCACTGTTGCAGTAGATCCGTGAATGAAGGTGTTTAAAACTTGATATTCTCATAACTGGGCATGAAATTACTAAATCCCACTCTCTCGTTATTCAATACTTCAGACATAGACAGGCCACTGAAATTCTTGGCATCATTCCAACTACCCCACTGGTTATTCGATGCCAGATTATTGCTACCAAACTGTTGAGAATGTAATTGTTCATAAATTGATGAACTGTTAGACTGAAATTGATTGAGAAACCTTGAAGAAATTCTATAAGCATCATTTTGGGGGGAAAACCAATTTCCAATATGATCTGGAAGTCTTAAACTCTGTGTAGGTGTGGATTGTTGCATTAACAGCTTAATTCTGGGATCATCTTCACTGGGACTAAATTGTGGAAGTGAAGTTTGCCTCATGTCAAAAGAAGCATTATTCAACCTTTCTGTCAGTATGCCCTTACCGAGGCCCAATACTGCAAGATCATTAAATTCAACATCTCCTATCCTGTCAATATTTCCAGATGGAGAAACATACTGCTGTTGCAAATGTTTCACTGGAAAAGATTTATAAGAAAATTCTCTATAAGTACAAAATGTAGCCAAGAATGGCAAACCGACAAAAACAAAAAATGGAGTAACTTTTGAACCATAAGGAAAGAGTTATACCAGAACTATCATAATCATGTTCTACTCTCCCAAACGAAAACCCTGGAGGTATTCTGCTGGACACAGAAAATCCTGGTGGGCTTGATGCATGAGCATTTGACACTGATACAAGACAACAATTAAAAACAAGCAGTAAATATCAGTTTGATAAAATTCAGTTCAATAGTGAACAAAATTAACAGCAATAAAGAATGGCATGCTAAGAAGCTCTAAATTATTTTCATTTGACAGGGAAGAAGTGAAGTATTATTTCAGGTCCTAAATCTTTTTATGATAAAACAACTAAGGGACAAAACTTATATGACTACTAAGGACCTCAGCTTTATTAAAAAATATTAGTAAAAATATTTTTAACACAAATCTCCAACTTCACACATGAAAATAGACATGGCATATATGACCCAAAAATTCATTTCCAATTGATATATATTATCAAATTTTTAAGTGTATTATAGTTTGGCCATCTTATCTCAGTAAAATAGATGTTCTTAATTGGCAAGTTTAAAAGTGAAATTCTAGCATAACACTTTTTTTCCTGATAGTAATATTGCCTGATTACAACCAAAGACATCATAAACAACACAAGTCAAATTCCAAAAGAACATACAACATATGTACCGGATTAATAATGACAGAAATAAATAAATAAAAAATAAAAAAACTAGTACAGTAGGATATACAATTATTCTTCCAATCAAACACATAAATATCCTATGAACAACAAATTACATCTACTTATATTAGATAGCACTGTCAGGGATGAGAAGCACTAAATTCATCTTAAACCCACAGCAAACTCCAGAGCTACCTAATGAGCCAATGAAGAACAAAAAAAGAGACATCCACTAAGTAGGATTGCAGACGTGCCTAAAATGCCATGTTTCTCCTATTATAAAAGATAAGCAAGAAAGATAAAGGGAAGGGGAGATCACAGAACTTTTAAGAAGACAAAGTATGAAAGGACGAACATCCAATTAATAAAACAAGCAGAATACCACAGGAAATTAATGCCAAACTAGAGAAATAGAATTTAGAAATCCAAAAATGAAATATATCAGCAAGATTTAAGGATATAAACACAAAAGTAGAAGCAATCATGACAACAGCAAAGACCAGAAAGGAAGGGACCTCTATCCCCACACTCACAAAAAGCAACACTTAAGCACATTATTAATCAGTACTCACTGGAAAAAGTAGAGGGCACAAAAGCCTGACTTCCAACAAATTTAGTTGATAGCATAGAATTGCTAGGTGAGAAAGCATGGGGGTATTTCCCATTGAGTGTATCCTTGCTTCCCAATAAACCACTTGATGCAAAGTTCTCTTCAGGATCAGGTCCAGCAGCCCTACATGATTGTTGCAAATTAGATGCCTCATTCATAAAATTGTCCTCCCTGGCAAAGGAAAACCTTGACTGATTTTTGTCTTGGACTTTCCGCAAAGTAGTTGCTTTAAAGGGTGTGTAGGGTTCATCACTTTCACCCAACAACTTAACTAGTGAATCTTCCCATGCATCTAATTCCAAAGACAAAATATTAGATATAATGTTGTTCTCTCCCATGTCTGACGCAATCTTGCTATCAAAACTTGTACCAGTATCCCCACTCTGCACTTGTTTCACAAATCCCGTCTCCAAATGTTCATTTAAAGACTCAGAAGGTTTTCCCAAATGATTCTGGTGACAAATTTGATCTTGATGCTGTGGTTGATGGCTTGATTGGTTTACATTCTGTGGTAGACAAGTTGAATGGAGCCCAGATGATGAATTATTGATGCCTTTGCTGAATTTTTGTTCATAATCTATGTTTTGTATATCATCCTCAACAATATCTTCCCAAAAAATTGGCGTGGATGAATGTTCTTTTGAATACTCATTATCTTGCTGCAAATTCTCCCCTATAGAGGAATTAATGGAATTATAAGTAAGAGGTAATCCATCTGAATCAAGAGTGGAATGTGAATCTTCTAGATGACTAGTAATGCTAACAGATGATAACCCTAAACATAAGCCATGTACATCCCTATTTGAATTAATGCTAACTGCTCTGTCAATATTGAAATCCTGTGGTCTGGAGAGCTCCAGGAAGCTTGTGCTCACTGAAGGGACTACCATATCTTGATCATTGCCCATTAAAGCTGCTAGAGATGTTTCACAATTAGACAATACAATGCCAGGAAGTTTCTGCACAGTAACTTCATTGAAAACATTTGACTCACATGTTTGAGAATTTCCACCAATATTATGCTTGTTCATCTCTGTAGGTATGAAAATACTGTTGGAATGTACACCAGAACAATTTTCAGCTTCCCCTGGTCTTGTATCAAGAATAGACTTCTCAGTGCAAGCAAATCCTGACACAAGGGCTTGTGGATCATTAGATGCCTCAACATTCCTATTGGCTAGATTACCAGAACATGATGAACTTGTATCCTGTGGAAGACTGCCAGATACACACCTAACCCTAGAACAATACACCTAAAATGTGAGCATTCACAATGGGCACAAACTAATTTGAGAATAATAACAATCAACAAACTAATTACCAGGAGTTCACCGCAGGAAGTGCTGTTGAATTGATGGCCCCAATAGCTGAACCAGCTCCTTTAATCTGGTTCTCAAATTTCTAGTTTGATAAAAGATGAGTTTAATAAAAATGTTAGTTAGCTCACTGCCTTATAAGAAAAAGATACACAAGTGAACAAATTGAAAATTGAAGTAATATATCTCCCCCAACAAACACAAACAATGGTTTCCACAAAATTGATGCGGAAGGAACACTTACATCTAAAGGACCCTTGGACATTAACTTGGTGGCTGATGACGTGTGTTTAAGATCATCTACTGGTGGAGGTAAAGCACTCCCTGAACGCCGATGCAAATTATTTGTAGCACCAATGATTTGTTGGACTCTACTCCTTTAACACCCAAAATGCGAAACAATGAAACAATAATTAAAAATAAATCTCAAGCATAAGTAGAAGATAGTGAAAATTGAGTAAGATCAAGATGTTTCTGGAAAATAGGGAGAAATCTGAATGACTGAGTTATGCAAGATATAAGACATTATGACACAGCTAATAGATGACTAGCTGGTGCGTACATAGGCAACTGTACATTCAAAAGTTAAAAATGAAGAAATGTGGCACATGAGAACCAAACATACCTAGCAAATGCTAAAACTAGTTCATCTTTTGTAAAGCTATCCTCGTGAGAACCATGATCATGTAAATATAAACAATCTCTGTTGCTGCAAGGCTGGACCAACAAATAACTTATATAGTAGCACAAAACCATAGCAATGTGTAATAAAACATTCATCGGCTTAAAGTTACTATTTTACCACATTTCTCAACCATGCATGGCAATACTTTGTGGTTCCAAAACAAGCCCTGCAAATGCAAATAGCCACCCATCATCACGTGACCGAGAAGGCCTCATGACCCAATCAAAATGGCATATCCTTACCTCAAGGATCTACCTTCTAATACAAAACAATGCACTGATTGAATACATCGAACTGCTTCAGACTCTTTTGAGTAAGTTATATACCTGAAGGTAAGAAATTTTAATTCTAGAAACACAAGTTGATATAAATGACAACAGCCTACAAGAATTGGTCTCCAAGCATATAAAGAAACATGATGACTAAAGTACTGAACCAATATTCCAATAGACACAAAAGAAAAGGAGATTTCTTATAATTCTAGAAACACAAGTTGATATATAAATGACAGCAGCCTACAAGAATTGGTCTTAAAGCATATAAAGAAACATGATGACTAAAGTACTGAACCAATATTCCAATAGACACAAAAGAAAAGGAAATGAAATGATGAGAGGGGGAGGGGACAAGAAAGATCATAATTTTCTACTTGAAACTCACAGCAGGGTAATTACATTTGAGCCATTCATAAATCATTACAACTTACACACAACAGCTGTTGTTTCCAGAATGTTGGATTATGCCATTTGCTGTTCGTGATATTGACACTTTTAAAACCTTTCCATACCTGCCAAAGTAATCCCTGCGTTGAAGTAGCTGGAGTAATCCAAAGAAAAATGTTATTAAACAAGGAAAATTTTACGATATTATATAAAAATGAAAGATGCCAAAACTCATATGGAGTATGCTTGCCATGTTCCATATTGAAGTAGCATCTAGCAACAGTTAGATGCATAACATTGAAGAACTCACTTCTTCATCTGCAAGGTTAAGAGGCAACCCAATTATGTAAACTAGATTGCGCTGAATGACCCTAACATCACTAAGATGTTTTCTTCCATCCGATGATTTAGGTTTCAATTTCTGCATTTTCTTTTTATGCTGTGAATTCATTTCAGCTACCAATCTGTTTAAAAAAGTGAAACAACTTAGTATTACCTAATGACAGCTTAATAATAAAATGTCATACAGAAATTAGACATTCCCGCCATAACCAAAACAACCTTTGACAGTTTGCAGCCATTGCCACAATGCGGTCTTTGTCATAAGGTGAACGACAGGCTGGACAACGGCCTTCATTTTCATCCTTCTGTGCCATTTCCATTATATGATGCCAACACCATACACAAATCTATGGAAAAGATAGGGGAAGAGAAAGAATGAACAAGTATGATTGATGAGGATAAGCATTATAATATATACGAACTCAGTCTCACTAATTCTTCCAACTTTTCAGCTTCACCAAATGGATTATGTATGATGCACAAATATTTGAACAAGCATCAAACCAGAGTATTCAACAATAAATTCAAAATCATAAATGAACAAAGGAAGATATTAATGTAAATAAAACCAGATAAAGGTATATAAACAAGTTTAAACCTCGTAACCACATTTGCATGGCTTCAGCTGCTGATCAGTCAGATCCATCTCCTCGGTGCATATGGGACATGATTTTTCTCCTTTGTCAGCCATGATTGTCCAGGGAATTCAGCTACACCAGAAATTAATAAAATATTAAATAACCTGCTTGAAGGAAAAACATATATATATATATATATATTCTCGTTAACAGATAGCAATTGATGCTACTCAAGAGCCACAAATTCAGCATAAGCACAAATAATGATTTTGAAAAATAATAATCATGCAATGAAAGGATTTGTGACAAGGAAAGGTTTTAGAAGGAAATCAGAATGGTGCATACCCACTGAGCTTATGTAATGATGAAATACTAAAAAATTACAAGCCATCATCTAAGGCAATTCCCGTTTTGATCAAACGTATAGTCCTCTTTTCTTTTTCGTGGGGTTGTGGTTCAAACTGGGCCAGCGGGAGGAGGAACGCCAATTATTATCATGTGGATGACCACCCAAACATTGAAACAGCATTTCATCAATTTGAAATAGCATATCACCACCGAACCCAATGTTAGTTACATTACAGAAGAACCAATTAATAAATACTAGCATGCTTCGTAATCACGAGCTAAAAACTCCACTAAATACTGCTGCCTTGTTGAGAACAGAACTGCAAATGACCAACATACTCACAATGCACCATTACAGCATTACTAGTAAAGCTCTGTGATAAGTCCTACGTATTAAAATTTTGCCACAAACTTAAAACAAGCACTAGTGACGATTCACTTAATCTCTTCTCAAAATTAAATCCATCTTCCATTCAACTAAATACGATAAATGGCAGTAACATAAGCCCAACATTTGCAAGAAATTTCAACCAAATCTAGCTCAAGCCGATGATAAAAATAGTGAAGGAAGAAAAACCCTAAGTGAAAACCATGCTTCCTTTACTTTCACTGCAACTCGGATAACACTTTATTCACACAGAAACAGTAAGTTAAACGATAGCACAATAATCATCGATAATCTCCGTAGGCTAAAATGACGAAAAGCATAAAATACAGATTACATTGTAGTTGATTCGTACCTAAGAAGAGTGTGCAGTTGAAAATGCGGCTCAATTGAAAAGCCTAACCCTAAAGAGAAGAGAGAAAAGAGCAAAATGAATGAATAAGAAGTAAAGAAAGAAGTGAAGAGATAAAGGAATGAGGATTAGGGTTTATGGCGATGAACTTACGGTGAGATCGAGGAAGAGGAAGCAGAGGCAGAGAAAAGAGATTGAGAGAGAGAAGATAAAGCACGAGAGAAGAGAAAATGAGGTGAGGACGTATTGTATGTATTCCGTACGTAAAAACCCGTATGTTGAAGCCAGCTCATTTTTTCAGTTTTATTTTCAAATAATTAATCACTGTAGTGTGCAGTAGATGGATATTGCCTCACTTAAGTAAGGATCACATACGATATTTTGGATTAGGTTAGGATAATGTTACAGTTTTTTTTTTTATAAGTTTAATTGTGTTTCTCAATTTTACAATTTAGTTCTAAAATTTTAATTTTTATATTCGGTCTCTGTATATATTTAATTATTTATATTTTTAATAAATAATTTATTAACCTTAGTTCTTAGAACTATGTTTAAATATTTATAAATATAAAATTTTATAAAAAATTAACAATTATTGTATTAAAATTATAAAAATATAATAAATATTTTTGTAATAAAATTTTATTATTATTAGTTGTTTATCCTTAAATTGAAATTAACAATTTTTTTTAATAATTAATAAAAGTATGATATGTTATTAATTTATATAAATTTAAACATATATAATATATAAACAATATATATTGTGGTTTTACTTTTTTTTAAAATATTTTACATATTATATGTATATATATATATATATATATATATATATTGGTGATATTTTTAACTTTCATTGTATTTGTATTAATGGTTGGTATAAGAAACTTAATTTAAATAATTAAAAATTTATGAAAACTAAATACAAGTAATTAAAATTAAAAAAGATTAATCTACCAAAAAAATAAAAGGATTAACTTATATATAAATTAAAACATAAATACTAAAATATGTAATTAAATATTTTTATATTTACATTTAAAAATATTAGAGATTGATCACGGCAAAAACTACCACATCTAGCATCAATGTGAGATAATTACCCAAAAAACATAATAACTCATTCGCAACACATTTTTCAGAGCTGCATTTCTTTTTACATCTTCAGCAATTAAATTTGACACATGTCAATGTCACTCTTCCATTTAAAAAAAAGTGACTTGTTTCTCATAAAAAATTTAGTTCATTTTCGAAAGATGTTGTTAACAAATAATTAATTTAATTAAAATCATCTTAATAAACTTACGAAATACTTATAAAAAACAAAAAAAATTGTTTGTTAATATAAGTTTTAAAACTAAAAACTAGAATTATTATTTAGATATTTTTGTTTTATTTTTCTGTTTCTCTTTCTATAACTAACAAATTTAACTAAAAACAATTTTAAAAATTAATTTATCAAACAAAATTTTTTTTTAAAATTTTTTTATAAAATTGTTTTAAAATATAATTTTTAAAAATTAAAAATTTAAAAAAAATCAAACTGGCCCTTAATTTATAAACCTTTAAAATAATAAAGCTCAATTTCTTCAAATAATTTGTTTAAGGCCTAACATATAAGTATTTTTACAAAATAGTATCTCCAAACACCACTACACTGAGATTTATAATATAGTTTACTGTATCTTTTTTACCTTATGTAAGGACTTCTTTGTTTTTTGAGTGCATGGGTTTGTATAAACTCTGCAAAAATGATAAACAATTATAGTACCACCCTAATAAACTTAATTGTTTCGACACAGCATGTGATGTATCACTTTAAACTTGTTTAGGTTTAACTCTTATACTTTGTGGTTTTTCAACAATATTTACTTTGATGGTGAAGCATGTAATACTACTACTAGCTGTGTCAAAGATTTTGTTATTTTTCATAAGAATGTAGGCCATGAAAGTTTAGATATCATCTTGGTTCACGAAGCTCATTGGTTTAAATTAGTTTATGTGAACTTGATGTGCAATCATTATGACTGTACTTTTGAATTATAATATCCAGCATTGAAGGCGAAGTTGAAGCATTTTTCTTTTAGCTTAAATCGACTAGCACGTTGCCAAATCTGTAGTTCTTGTATTTCTTTGACTATCAATATGAGCTAGATAACTTGATTAAATTTAATTTAGTAGATTGATTCGGAGTGAATTTGTCGAGTTTTCAAATGTTAAAACAAATTTGAAAAATCAAAATTTAAACAAATAATCATGAACAAGAGCGTTTTGGAATTAACTGATTTTAAAAACAATTATTTACCATAATTAAGGTATAATTGAACGTGGGCTAAATTAAATAAAATTAAAGTGCTGCTTATACCAACTGATTAATATTTAAAGTTAAGTTTCACAATATGGATTGTAAACACTGTGTATGAGGGATAATTTATTTAGTGAGAATGTTTTATTTTAACTTTAATATAATAACTTTAGATCAAACAACAAAAATAATAATAAATTTATTATTATTATTATTATTATTAAAATTTCATGTTTTCATGAGCTTTAAGTAAGTTACATTCGTTAAGATCATGTTCCCAATTACATCATCGTAACAAATAAGTGATTTTTCTCAAAAGAATTTTATTGTAGTGAACCAATAACCTTATTGTAGATCAACAATAACCTCTTAATTAGTTAATTATGCAAGAATCTTGGTATAATCAGATAGAACCGTTTATTGTTAAATACTACGAATGCATGGTGTTTTTTTTCTTCAAAATGCTTTTTATTTCAGTTTTTGTCCTTAAATCAACATTTTTCTCACCATATTAAAATATAAACTTACCTAACATAATTGAGTATTGTTTTGGGTTTGTTTGAATCGAAAAGGAGAGGACTAAAATTGCAAGAGTTGAAATTGAGCTTTTTATTGTTTTTTTTTTTAATATAGATTGAAATTAATAGACAAATGTGGTGTTTTTTCTCGTGAACCTAAAGCATTTCCATTCCATTTAGGTGTGAAATGCAGCTTCTACTGATATACAGAATTTATTTATTTATTTGTTTGTTTAGAAAATATAATTAATAATTTTATATTAACATAAAAAAGATACAATAAAAATTCTAAATTTTTAAAATTATATATTTTTAAGATATTTCAGATATTTATATAATACATGTCTTTTTACTCTCTTTTCCACTCGTCTAAATATGTAAAAGTAATTTTCACTTCATTTTATCTTATTTCTATATATTCATCTAAATAATACATCATTTATACTTTGTTTTTTTTATTTATATCCTTTTTATTTTAATCCTCCCTATTTCACTTATCATCCAAACAAAACATAAATTATAAAGGCAAATACGAAAATAGCGTAAAAATAATAATTAACTAATAAAAGCAAACATAAAATACTGTAAGCATAAAATCAATAAAAGTGATCTTAATTATAATTACAATTTCAAATTCTAGGTAAATATAAAAATACTTTAAAATTATTACAAATAAACTTTAGAGTATGTTTGATTTTATTTTTAAATAGTTTTTAGTTTTTAAAAATAAAATACAGTAGAAATTTGTTTAAATGATAATTATAGTCTTTCAATTATTTAATCAAATACACTCAGCTTGTTCTGTTGTTATTCATAATTATATTTGCAGAGTTTTTAGTCACTGATTTCTTCATCTCCTGATTAACTTTCTGTCCCTATCATTGGATTGCCATAACCATTATTAAACTACCTGTACTTAACTTCGACTATCCATTGATTTCCATTACATAACAGCGAGAGAAAAGTCAAACCATAATTTCTCTTTACATATGTCCGAGATTAATAGAATTAAGGCTAACGTTCTAATCTCCTGTTAATTCTTCTAGCATTTTATCAAGTAAGTATCAATTAAAAATATAAACATATTTAATGTCTTAAAAATGCAAAATGTATTGATTTTTTAAATACGAGTAAATTAACTGGTTGAATGGCATACCTCATCTTCCTCCTTTTTTAAAAATAGATTATTAGTATACTTAGACCTTAAGAAAGTTTACTTATTTTAAGTATATTGTTCAATATTTGGAGTAATAAAATGCTTAATTACCCAATTTTTGACATCATCCGAAGTCTCAAAGCGAAGGCGAAAAAAGTGAGGCAATAAAAAACAGTGATAATTCTGTCATCTTTTTGAAAGTTAAAGGGCACTTCTATCAGTATCAAGTTGTTGTTTTTATTATTCTGTCAATGAAGGAAAGGGGGTGATCGTGCTTTTTAGAAAGGTCATCGATCAAAATTATCAATGTGACTAAACATGAGAGAAAGGCATGCTAGAATCTGTATTGACCATTATGTTTTACCTTATACTCCATCTATTATATTATATCCCATTTAGCAGGTTTTGATTCACGTTAAAAATTATGATTATAGCGTTTATGCGTTTAAACGTCAATCTATGCAAAATTAACTGTAATTATTGATCATTAAATGTATTTATAATAATTATTAAAATTTAAAATTATATATAATAATAACACAAAAGTTACAACACCAAAAAAATTATAAACGTTGGTGACATGGCAAGTTACAGACGGAAACAATAAATTGCTATAAATTAAATTTAATAAATAATGTACATTTTCTTTATTTTTTTAATTATATTTATATATTCCTTTTTATTTATCATTTTAAATTTATTTATTTATTTTATGTAAATTAAATTTTGTTATTTTAATTACTTTTTTAAAAATATGATTATATCATTTAATTACTTTATAGTTAAAATTATTTTTATTGATTCTTAATTAAAATGATAAATAAATTTATCGTTTATGATATTATTTTTTAATTTAGACAAATGCATAAAAAAATTAATTATTTTATTATTTTAATTTTATGATCTACAATATAATTTTATTATATTTAATTAGTTATTTAATAAAAAATTATTTATAATGTATAATAATAATAATTTTATTAAGTTATCAAATAATATATAATAATTGAATCACTTAAAAAAAGGTTCAATTCTATATTTTTTAAAATATTTTTATTTATTAGTCAACAACTAAATTTTAAAATTAAGAATATATTTTTATTTTATTTATGATAATTTTGTAAACTAATTTTTTTTATAACAATAAAAATTTAATATAAATTTGTTTGTGAGTATTAGCATACAATTTTATATATATTTATATTAAAATTATATTTTAAAAATTTTATACGTTACTAAAATAAATATTTTTTTATTTTCAAATTAATTGTTATATATTTATTTTTATTTTTAATCTGATGAGTTATTTTTTTTTAAATATTATCTCATCCTTTATAATTATACAATTAATTTTTTTATTAGTAATTTAAAATTACAATTATAAATGAGTGATGTATTATATAATTTTAGTTAAATAATTATAAACAATTATATAAATAAAAAATTAAAAAATATTCTATTTAAATTTATAACTCATATCGCAAAAGTTTTGTTTTATTATAATTATTCATTTATAAAATTTATAACTATTGATAATTTTATTAAATCATCAAATAATATAAAATTTAAAAGCAATAGATTTTATATTTTTAATTATAGTTTCAAGATTCTTTTAAATAACTTTTTAGAATTTGTTACTTTTTATATTTATGTATTAATAAAAAAAATAAATTGAAAATATGCATTATATTATTATCAATTTATATGTAAGACAATTTTATAAACTAATAAAAAATAATAAATTTTATTTGCACGTATGGCTCGGTATTTTTTAAAGACTTTATATTGAACTTATATATATTTTTTAATTATCGATAAAATAAAATAATATACATTTTCTTTACTTATATTTAACTAAATTTATATATTTTAATATAATATTTTATATTTATTTATTTTAATATTTTAATAAAAAATAAACAAATAAAAAATATTATATTATTATTAAATTATATACATAAAATTTATTGCAAACTAATCAAATTCTAATTTACTAAAAAATATAAATAAATTAATATAGTATTTATGCAGCAAATAAAATATTTGTTAAAATTATTATTATTATTATTATATATACAAGTCTAAACTTCTAAAAACATTAAGATGATAATATAAATATTTTTAATGTATTTTTTTTTAGTCTTGTTTAATTATTTTAGAGAATATATGATTTTAATAATCTACCAACGTTAAATTGTAATTTATCATATAATTAAATTTTAATAGTAATTTATTTATTAATTTTATGATATGCGAAGAAGGAGAAAGAGATGATGGTTAGAGGGGACATTGAGGGGAATGAGGTTCCTGGTGTGCCGAGAGCGAAGGGAACAACGATGGATAAGCTGTGAAAAATCTTTTATCCAAATCCTGATATGGAACATTTATTTGAATATTAACTTCTAAAATTTAATTATTTAATATCCTCATTTAATATACATTCATTCTATCTAAAAACTACGAGTCTTTATTGAATATAGTCTAAATTTTACAGTATATAATTATAATTATTATTATTTTTGTCGTAATGAATTATATATTTATTTTTTATAAATAAAACTGAAAATAGCAGTTTTTAATAAAATTATATTAAATTTTATAACTTTTAATAAATAATTATTATCTAAAAATCATTATATCCTTTTATTATGTATAATGTTAAATAAATTAAAAATAAAATATATATAAGAGAGAGAAATACTAGATCTTTTAAATTATCAAAATTAAATTATTTTTTGAATATTTTAAAATTGTACTTATACATTATGTAAATTATGTGATTTTTTTAATTATAAACACTATTCTTAGATCTCATGTCAAGTTACTATAGGATATTTGGTTAACATTGTTAACATAATTTCAAACACAAAAATATATTTTATGATGCACTTTCTTTTAAAGCAATTTTTTTTTTTATAAATTTAGGTAATGGGGCTTTGCTCTTTGTACAGTCAGACATTATAAATCGAAAATTTATTTTTAGTATAGTTATAATCATTAGAAATTTTGTTGTCATTAAAATTTATGAAACTAAATTTTCATTTAAGTCAAATCAAATATCAATGACCCTTATCATTTGTATATCTTTTTTAATTATAAATTTGCTCTGCATAATAATACATTAATGGAAAATGTTTTGAGAAACCCAGTTTAAGAATCTCCATCATTATTATGGAATGTGATGAAGAAAAAGTTGGGAATACACATGCCTACTGTGCTTTTTTACCTTTGGAGTGTGTCAGTCCCCAAATCCTGCATGGTTATTAAAACAACTTCAATTTATAAATACCTCAGCAACAATAATACTTATTTAATTTTTTTAATTTAACATTTATTTTTATTTTTATTTTTATTTTTCTCAAAGTGGTAAGTTTAAACATTTTTCTGTTTATTAAACATTTTTATGAATGAAATTCATCTGAGTGTTGGGCAAAGACAATGTCTGCGATCGCCAAGCTGGGAACCTCTGGTTCTGCTGCTTTATGGATGCCCCTTTAGCATGGTGGATGCTATCCAAATTGCTTTACCATTCAACATTTTTTTAATGTTACACACACTTCGAGTCACCACATTATTCTATATGAATTCGGGAAAGCTGCATTGATGGAGAATTTTGCCACCAAGTGCAGTTTTAACTTTGTTTTTTTTTAATAAAAGTTTGAAGATTTACATAAATTTTTTCATATTTTATTTTAAGAGAAATATTAATAATGTATTTTTTAAAAATTTGTTGTTACTATTAAGTGACTCTTACTAAATAATCTTAGTTCATTATTCAATGAAACTAATATAAATTTTATCTAATATTAAAAAATGTGTAAAATTATGCATGAGTCAAGAACGTATAATAACGATCATTTCTCTGTGCTTATACATCCATCCTCAACTAACATTTTGAAGTATTCAGGAAAAAAAAAACGCTTATATGAAATTCAGATTAAAATGGTATGATTATTTTATCCAATTAATGAAAGACAGTTTTAATTGAAATGAATTTATGCAGAGTGTTAATTATCACTGTCGTTTATTTATCCCTACCTCTACTATTAAGAAAAAATTATTTAAAATACTCTTATTAATTCGATTACCGATCAAACTTTATATATAATTCATGAGTACTAATTTTTTATTTTGCTAATCATCAGTACTAATTTTTGAATAAAAACATTTTTATAACTTAATTTTTGTTCATCGTATCAAGTACTTTTTTCATTACATATTTATTTTGTAATTCAATATTAATTCAAACTTTGAATATTTATATTTTTTTCTTTAATGTAAAATATTATTTATTATTGATAGTTATATCATTATCGGTAGAAATATATATTTAATTAATATAATATTAATTTATTAAAAATATAATAATACTCATGCATCTCACAAAAAAAGTTACTACTATAAAATAACATAGACACCTTAAAATAGCAATATTCGTGCTCTTAAATATGTCAGAATATTAAAATAAGGTACTAGTTGTTAAGAAAAAAAAACTTTATAATTGTGATAAAAATCAAAAGGTAATCTCACATGTAGAAAAAATGATGTTATACTTGTAATTTTTTTTACAATTTTTTTATAGTAAATCATTTTTTTCTATCTTTCTTTTATTATAAAATATGTTGTAAATTTTTGTTACAATGATAACATTATTCCTTGTAAAAGTACCAAAGTTAACAAACAGAGGTGCTGACTGGATCTTAATTTCAAACTTACATTTTTGTAATTAAGAAACCAACTTGACTTTAATTTTGTTTATTTCAAAAGATAAAATTAATGTCAAAGAAATGACCTTCTACTTAAAAAAATCTATACTAATAGAAACTTTATGGGGGGGGCCCAAATGACCCTGTGTCGTGTAGGCACTGGTCCATAGGTCCCACATTCCGTAGATGCTGTAACCTTTGCTACGGTATGTTAAGTTGTAACCCCCTGCACATGCAGAATCTCAGGTTCTCTCTTTACTGCTACTACTGAATATATTTACATTTGAATTGAATGTTAACAGATTTTATCTTATCATCATTTTTTATACTTAAAAAAAAAAAAGGAAAAGAAAAAGATTAGGTAGGTAGTTTTGTTATTTCATTGTTGTGCTGGGTTTATTTTACCAAACACAGGCTTCTATTTCGGGTCACTTTCTCTGTTGAGTTCACTTCAGCCATCTTTTATGGTTTGGTTTTTTGCTGTGAAATCTTCTCGGAGAAGAAATGAAAATTAGCCAACCCTTCTTCCTCTCATCTCTCTCACTCTTTCTGCTACTTCTCTTGCATATTTCTTCTGCTCAGATGCCGGGTACCCTCTTCTCTGTTTTTGCCACTTCATGTCCCTTTCCCCCCACCCCCCCTTGATTGGTTTCCATAAAGATTGAGTTTTTTTCTTCTGTAGCACCGGTTTTTGCAATAAAAACTAAAAGGGTGTCTTGTTTCAGTGTTTCTCTTTGTGCTATGCAGCCTCTGTTCTCTGGCATTGATTCTTGCTTTGTTTATATTATTTCTTCTTTTCTCTTTCTTTGTGTTTCCATGTTGAGCCCTAAGGTGTTCTTTTATTCGCGTGGCAATAAAAATTTTATCTTTTTGTGTGTCCTTCAAAATTCAAATTCTGTGGAGCTAAATAATTTTTCTCGCCATTTTGTTTCAATGAGCTGACTGTAACAATTTAGTATGAATATCCTGATGCATAATCAAATACATAAACTAAATAAAGAAGACTGTGATCCAACTCTAAAGCTTATGGTGGGGATTCATGTGTTTTCAGTTTTTTTTTTTTTTTGTAATGGCTGTTGCTTCTAATTATGAGTTATAAAATGCTTAAAATTTTCAATCTTGCATGTGTCTGTGTTGTTCCTTTGTTTTTTGTGCAAAGGGGCATTTTGAAGCTTCATAAATCATGTTTCTGGCAGTGTTATATTAGTAGCTTGCTCAGTTCATGTAACTTAATTAATGGTGATTAGATGCTAACTGTAATGTCAGGTTAAAACAGTGATTAACCATTGGTTGTGATAAGTAATTCTGGTGGAGTGAAGATTATATGGTTCTTGGAACCTGTAGTGATTGTGTAGATCATTAGATTAGTTATTATCAATTTTTACGAAGCGAAGCTTTATATAATTACTATCATTATTTTGCAAACTTCTTTTGAAGTATCACAGTTAAATAAGTTTTTTTCATTTGTCTCAACTCTTGATGGACTTTTTTCTAACAATTAATTGTCTAGATTATCTGCATGATATTTACTTGATTTGACTTCCTTGGTAAAATTTGACTATTAGAGGTAAAATTGTTTATGCAATCAATTCACTTCATCCATGCTGTTATTTGATGACAAATATGTCGTTTTAAGCAGGTTTTGTAAGTTTGGACTGTGGAGGTAAAGAAAAATTCACTGATGAAATTGGTCTTAAATGGACTCCTGATGATAACATTAAGTACGGAGAAATAAGCACTATATCAGTTGCCAACGAGACACGGAAGCAATACACGACACTGCGACACTTTCCTGCTGATTCCAGAAAATACTGCTACACACTTGATGTGTTGAGTAGGACAAGGTACCTACTGAGAGTGACATTCTTGTATGGGAACTTTGATGCAGACAATGTTTATCCAAAATTTGACATTTCTATTGGTGCTACTCATTGGTCGACTATTGTTATATCTGATGCCAACACTGTCGAAGTGAGAGAGCTTATATTTTTGGCTTCAAGTCCTACAGTAAGTGTATGTTTATCAAATGCAACAACTGGGAAGCCATTCATATCTACCCTTGAACTCCGGCAATTCAATGGTTCAGTTTATTATACATACACTGAGGAACACTCTTACCTCAGTGTCTCTGCAAGGATAAATTTTGGTGCAGAGAGTGATGCCCCAATCAGGTATTATGTCAACTCTGTCAGATGATTCATGTTTCATAGCCTGCTTGGTCGCAAATTAATCTTCTAAAGACTCTTTTCTTTGGTATATCATAATATATATGTAGTGTTATGAAGTCTGTTGATTGAAATGCGATGAAGTTACAACTTACAAAGAGTAGTCCTGAATCCTGATGCCAAGGATCCATTTCATTTGGCAAATTATGATACTTTGAAGGGAGGGGTAGTACACATCTTTCACATATATTTTTTTGTTGCTTTCACTAGACAAATCACAAATATCAAATCTTTGTAACTTCCTTCATAGAAAAGAATTACTTCACACAAAGATTATATCTCTGAATGGTGATCATGTTTACTGCATAGTTAGTATTAGCTTGTGTGGTTACTGAATTGAAGCAGTTTCTTTTTACTTAGTAAGTGTATATCTCTGCCATATCAGGTATCCTGATGATCCATTTGATAGAATTTGGGAATCGGATTCTCTCAAGAAAGCAAATTATCTTGTTGATGTTGCTGCCGGAACTAGGAAAATTTCCACCAATTTACCAATTAATGTTGACAGTGATGAAATGCCCCCAGTGAAAGTAATGCAAACTGCTGTAGTGGGTACCAATGGATCTCTAACATACCGGTTGAACTTGGATGGCTTTCCTGGTATTGGATGGGCATTCACCTATTTTGCAGAGATTGAAGATTTGGCTGAAGAAGAATCCAGAAAATTCAGGCTTGTACTTCCAGGGCATCCTGATATTAGTAAGGATGTGGTAAATATTGAAGAAAATGCTCCAGGAAAATATCGCCTTTACGAACCAGGATTCACCAATTTATCCCTACCCTTTGTGTTGTCCTTTAAATTTGCCAAAACATCTGATTCTTCCAGGGGCCCTCTTCTAAATGCCATGGAGATTAATAAGTATCTTGAGAAAAATAATGGCTCTCCTGATGGTAAGTCCCTATTTTGTTTAGGTAACTTGTGACTGTAGTAGAGTAACTACTTAACAAATATATCTATTACAAAACTGGTTTATTTGTCCAATCTTTTTTGGAGCATCCTAATTTTTTGAGTACTTGGTTTGCAGGAGAAGCTATATTGAGTGTACTTTCGCAATACTCATCAGCAGATTGGGCACAAGAAGGGGGTGATCCATGTCTACCTGTTCCATGGTCATGGATCCGCTGTAACACAGATCAGCAGCCAAGAATAGTCTCAATGTAATGGTTCATTTTTTCTAAGGTTTTTATTTTGTCTATATGTGAGTTTCACACGGTAAATTACTGTGTGAAAAGAAAATTTCAAGTGATATGATAACTACTTTGTATTGATGGTGATGGCAGTTTGTTGTCTAATAAAAACTTGACCGGGAATATTCCTTTGGACATCACCAAATTGACTGGTCTGGTAGAATTGTAAGTTTTATATTACTTTCTTATTTTGATTCAATGAAACTACAGTGTCTGGTGTTTGTTCTATCAAACTGCAGTGGCATAATGATTTGATTTATGGATGTAGATGGCTTGATGGAAATATGTTGACTGGCCCAATACCAGATTTCACTGGATGCATGGACTTAAAGATCATGTAATGGTGGTTGATAAGTTCTTCCTTTATTCATGTTTTTTCAGTTTTCAGTTCACTTCAACCATTTTCTCTTGCAGTCATCTCGAGAACAATCAGTTGACTGGTGCGCTCCCAACCTCTTTGGCAAACCTTCCAAATTTGAGGGAACTGTAAGCTATCTGGAACTATAAGCTATCTGGAACTATAAGTTGTTTGTTCAAATTGGATATTGGCATACATTTGATACATTCAAATATCAGGAGCTTAGCAATAATCACTGAAATAAGCATCTTTTTGTTAATGACACTTGAGTCATTTCTAAATCAAGTGAAATACTCCATTTATTTTCATACAATTTTGATAACACTTTTAATGATTGCAGGTATGTCCAAAATAATAGGTTGTCTGGAACTGTACCATCAGGTCTTCTGAGCAAAGATTTGGTTTTGAAGTGAGTGCCGTATTTACTTGAAATTAAACATAATAGAGTATTATGCGTGCAAAAGAGGAGGCATGTTGCATCTTAGGAGAATTAATGGAAATATACAAAAGATATGTTGGATGCTTTTGCAATGTTCTGCCCTGTTCAATGCAATTATTTTCATTCTAGATCTTAATCTTAGCAAATGGCGTATAATACATAAATAACAGTTAAACAATGAAGTGAAATGAAATGGTTGCTTCATAACAAGAGAAGCCAACGTTCCTGTTGTGATCAGTTAAGTAAAAACCTGATTTTGTAAAGTGTGGAACAATCAGATATGCATGCAGAGATGCTTTTTTTTGTTTGGATTTCATATATATTAATTGTACCTTTTAGTATGCCATTGACCAATATCCATGTTGCATACTCCCCTCCTTTGTCATTTTTGTTCTTTTCATATCTATCCTCACCTTTCTCTTGGATGATTTTACTTCATCTTTTGGTTTCTGAATTTTGATTGTGTTGCTTTGATTGCTTGAATAAATGTTGAATCTGTCAGCTAACATGACAGTCCTTCAGTATATTTTGACATTCTGGATTTTTTCCTTGAAATGCTAATACTTCTAACTGATCAATATATTTGTTCTAGGTTCATTCTTATCGCCCTTTTTTTTGGCAAATTTTCTAATACCTTCATGACCATATTTACATAATGATCACTACTTTTATTTTGGCCCTCAACAGCTACTCTGGAAACATTAATCTTCATAAAGGGAGCAGAAAAAATAGCCACACCAATGTGATTATTGGTTCAGTAACTGGGGCTGTCGTTCTACTTTTGGCCACTATCATATCTTGCTTGTTTATGCATAAAGGAAAGAAAAATTATTCTAAACAAGGTAGGATTCTGAATCAAAATTATATATTATTTCTTTCTGAGATTTGTGATTGCAAAATGTAATGTATTTGTTTACACTCTTCATAGATGGCCTGGTTTCTCTCCCTTCTCAAAGTTTGGATTCTTCTAAGAGTGTTGGTCCTGCAGAAGCTGCTCACTGCTTCAGCTTTTCTGAAATTGAAAATTCTACAAATAATTTTGAGAAAGAAGTAGGTTCTGGAGGTTTTGGAGTTGTTTACTATGGGAAACTGAAAGATGGAAAAGAGATAGCAGTTAAAGTTCTAACCACTAATTCTTATCAAGGAAAACGAGAGTTCTCCAATGAGGTAAACCTCTTTCAGTATTCCACCATTGCAACCTATAATTCGGTTGGAATTGAATAGATATTTTTATTATAGCTATATTTTTGTTTGATCCAGGTGACTCTTCTCTCAAGAATACATCACAGAAACTTAGTACAACTTCTTGGTTATTGCCGAGAAGATGAAAATAGCATGCTTATTTATGAGTTCATGCATAATGGAACTCTGAAGGAACATCTTTATGGTATGTAATCCTCATTGATTTAAATCAAGGAGCTGTAGTCCATACGCTCAATTGTGCCTAACTTCTTGTAGGTCCATTAACAAGAGGACGGAGTATTAATTGGATTAAGCGTCTTGAGATTGCAGAAGATGCTGCAAAAGGTTCATATCGCTAATGCATCATTTAAGATGATAGTATTAAATACCTTTTCCCTCTAATTTTACTATCAGATTGTTAATTGTGTTATTGTCATGATTTTTCAGGGATTGAATATCTTCACGCAGGCTGTGTTCCTGCAGTCATCCATAGAGACTTAAAAAGCAGCAATATTCTTCTTGACAAGCACATGAGAGCCAAGGTTTCTGATTTTGGTCTTTCTAAACTTGCTGTTGATGGAGCCTCCCATGTTTCTAGTGTAGTTCGGGGGACATTAGGATATGTGGATCCTGAGTAAGGCCTCAACTATTTTCCATGAATTTGTGTGTTTGCCTGAAATGAAGTAAACGTGGTCTTTACTTGAGTTTGATTCCCGAAGTTCCCTATCTCTATTCTCTGATTAACCACAGTTTATCACTATAACTTTCAACAGGTACTATATTTCCCAGCAGCTTACTGACAAGAGTGATATATACAGTTTTGGTGTAATTCTTCTTGAACTCATATCTGGTCAAGAAGCAATATCTAATAACAACTTTGGAGCAAATTGCCGAAACATAGTCCAGTGGGTGAGTTTTAATTTCCTTGTTGACATAGAATTTTGAAGCATAAATGTATCATATAATTCTAAAACCCTTTGTAAGTATGCATGTGTAAATTTATAAAGTGGCAAGAGAAGAAAATTCTTCCATTAATATAACTTATAACAATACTTTCGCATTGCATAGATATGATGAACTTCCATATAAAATTGAATTACATTTCTCTAAACTATATTATTTCACAGGCAAAATTACACATTGAGAGTGGAGATATACAAGGTATTATTGATCCTGCGCTACAAAACAACTATGACCTACAATCAATGTGGAAAATAGCAGAGAAAGCATTGATGTGTGTTGAGCCTCATGCAAATATGAGGCCATCAATTTCAGAAGTTCTGAAGGACATCCAAGATGCAATCGCTATTGAGAGAGAGGCCGAAGGCAATTTTAATGAGCCAAGAAATTCAGTTCATTCTTCTATCAACACAGGTTCTATGGATTTGGTTGCAACTGAGAGCTACGTTTCAATTGATGAGTCCATTGCACAGCCTACTCCACGATAGAGTAAACATTGCATGCATGCACAGATTTTTCCTATTCCTTTCTCCGATTTTAATTTTTCTGTTTCCTTTGATTTTTAACATATGGGCAAGGCCTTGCTGCACATAACATGGTAGTTGGTTTCAATTTTTGCCTTTTGTTGCTCAGTTGAATGTGGCAACATTAATATAGCATATCCACAGTGTTTTTCGACTCGTACATTCAGTAAATCAAATGTGTATGTATATTGAAAAAAACAATGATGTTCATACACTTCAGATTATTTTCGCCTTTTTATATACCTATTTTTCTTTTTCTCTTTTCTCTGTGGTATCTCTCATTTCTTCTTCTTCATTTTTGTCTCTCCTTTTTCCTACTTCTATGTCCCAAGAATGAGCCATACAATAACCTTTCTCTATACTGAAGTTAGTGTCCATGATATACTTTGATGGACAATCATTTCAAAAATAATATCATTTGTACTAAATACTCATTTTAGTATCTCAAATTATTCAATTATTTTAATTATTTATGCAAAATAACAATAAAAAATAAATTAAAAAATTATTAGAATGAGATATTTTAAAAAATTAAAGACTAAAGTAAAGTTTTTGTAAAGTTAATGATTAAAAAATGTATTAATATTTATATATATATATTTTTTAATTTTTGTTTTGTTTTATTTCATCCAAACAAAGCATTTAAAGTTGATTTCGCTTGAATTTGATAGTATAAAATTATTTATACCAAAATGTGAGTTTTGGAATAGATAATAAATTATTCATAGGCATACAAAAGTATTAAAGAAAAAAGTATATTAATAAATTATAAATAAGTTAATTCGAGACTTTACAACATGATACTAATCTGTTTTCCAAACTTTTTAATGGGTGATCAAATTAACATAAATTTGAAATAAACTAAAAAATTAAATAATTAATCGATTAGATTAAACTTTAGATTTAAAATTTTGAAAATTGACTAGTTCAAATTATTTTTTTTCGTATAATACGATGTTATTATATCATTTATTAATATGATCCAAGTTTGTTTATTAATGAATTCAATCAATCTCGAATCAATTTAAATTAAAACAGATTGAATTAAAATTATATTCGAAATCAAATTCATTGAATAATAATATAAAAAAAATTACATTAAATTGGTTGAACTTTTCTTTCGAAATTTATATATTTTACAATTCATTCAATAACCTGCCCCGTATACTACTCTTTTCGAATTCCTACTGTAATTGAAAGTATTATTTTATCTGCTTAAAGAACGACAAATTGGTATAGAAAATAAAAGTTTTTTTCTTCTGTTTTATTATTATTTATTATTCTAATATTTAGGCATTGCATTAGATATTTGACTACTTCAATTAGAATCGGGTGGTACTCATCCAAAAGTTTTTAATTTATTTGTAGACAAAAAATAAAGCAAAATCGAAACATAATATGACCAACTTAAAGGGTTTTTTTTTATGCGAAGAAAAATAGAAAAATAATTATTAACTAATGATTTACCTATTTATTTTCATATTTATCAATCATTACATTAAAATGGTATATAAAATATTCAATATAACTATATTTTATTTATAATTAAACAAGTAAACAAAATTTACTATTTTATTATTTCCTCATTTAAATAATAATAAAATAATTAGAATATAATTGATTTCCTTTTTAAAAATAGTTTTTTTTTGAAAAAAATATAGTATAACGCGTGCAAATCAAAGTGATCAATACTCGTATTAAATGTAGCTTCTTCAGGAGGAATGTATTTTAGAGAATAAATATTACTTATATTTAAATAGTTAAATTTGCGAAAAAAATTCAAGTATAATCGTTATAAATTTCAAGATTAATTATAGTCTTCATCGTTGATTTCTTAATTTCTTTGATGTTTAATAAAATGTTTTTAATTTATATTTTTATATTATTTTAAATTTTTAATTAGTAATTTATAAAAAAATGAATTAGCAAAATTGTAAAAAAAATTAATTTGTAAAACTGAAAAAATTTGTAATATTATATTATTACATACATTAGGGAAATTGTTTAGAATGAAAAATATTAAATAATTTTTGTTAAACGAAATGTCAGTAGCCAGTGTAATTTACGCTTTTAAATCTCCCGGTACTTGTGTACCTCTCACGTAATATTGAAACGATAAAACTAATATTTTATTATCTGAAACTGGGATCATTGGTAATTTTAAAACTTAAAGCTAGAAAATTTCTTAAATAGTCCCTAAAACTGTGTTTCATCATTCAATTTTGGGAAAAAAATATTTCATATATAAATTTGTATAGAATAATAGACGTTAAAATAAAAAAAAAAGATAAAAATTATATATTTTATATATATTTTTAAACTGGCAATAATAAAACAACTATTTTAAAATAAATTGAATGAAACGCGTATCAAATCCAATTTAGTTTTAATTTTTCGATCAATATATTAGATAGTCTCTTTAATAAATCTGAAATTAAAGAAATTCTAAAAATGACATTTTTTTAATAATCAAAATATCAAATGAGTACTAGATTGGTTTCCCTTGTTTTCTTTTATGCATAAAAAAGGCCCAACAACCAATAAGAGAAAGGAAGGGAAGGAAAGAAGGTAAAAAAGAAAACGGACGGTGGCGATAGAAGCCACACTCTCATCTCCATCGTCTCCTCACTCCTCTCTCTCACATCACTTCTCCAGCGTCCATTCTCGCGCCAAATACAAATCTCATCACATCGTAACATTCAGGTAACTTTTTTTATTTTCCCTCTCTCTCCAATTTCTCTCTCTAGGGTTTCTCCATGCCTTTCCCTTTCTTTGTAACGTTAGGGTTCCGGCGACCATGGCCGATACCCCCGCGAGTCCCGCCGGCGGTGGCAGCCACGAGAGCGGCGACCACAGCCCCCGCTCTAATTTCCGCGAGCAGGACCGTTTTCTCCCCATCGCCAACATTAGCCGCATCATGAAGAAAGCGCTACCTCCTAACGGAAAGATCGCTAAGGACGCAAAAGAAACCGTTCAGGAATGCGTCTCTGAGTTCATCAGCTTCATCACCAGCGAGTACGGTTCTTCTTCTTTTCTCATTCGTGCTTTCGTTGTGATTCTGTGGAGTGAATGAATTGTGAACTGTGTTAATGTTTCGCAGGGCGAGCGACAAGTGCCAGAGAGAGAAGAGGAAGACTATTAACGGCGACGATTTGCTTTGGGCTATGGCCACTCTCGGTTTCGAAGATTACATCGATCCCTTAAAGATTTACCTCGGCGCTTACAGAGAAGTAATATTAATTTACATTTGGTTAATGCAGTTTTGGTTTCGTGGAGGTGAACTTTCACTGATGTGTTTTTTCTCCCTTTCATTGATTGAATTTCTCGTGTGCCGATTGAAATGTTGCAGATTGAGGTAATTTTAAATGAATAGTTATTTAGCTTTGTGATTTTTTGTGTTCAACTGTGCGTTTTTGTTATTGTGTTTGTGATCTCTGAAATTGTGGTTTGACAGGGTGATTCCAAGGGTTCGGCCAAGGGTGGAGATGCATCTGCTAAGAAGGATGTTTATCCGAGTCCTAATTCCCAGGTGGACAACGTATATACATGCACTGTTCCTGATTGCATTGCTGGGAATATATTTAGAGTACAATGACATTGACATCTGATGTTGGATTTTCTTGTGGATTTGACAGCTTGTTCATCAAGGTTCTTACTCACAAGGCGTTAATTACTCGAATTCTCAGGTGATTAATCACTTACTCTGTAATGCAATATATCTCGTTCTTCCTTTGCTTCTGCGGTCGCATTGATAAATGAAGATGCTGAGATTGCTGTTTAATCCCCAATGACTGCAATGTAGTACGAGATACTGACGCTTCGTTTGCAGGAACTTCTACTTCTAAACCCTTCTCCTCCTAAACACTTTTTATTTGAAGTTCAATTTAGTTAAAATGTTTGTCATTATGTTGGTTGATTGGTTATAATAAGTAATACCATTTTGATTTTTTGGTTGAAATTTTGAAGATGTACATCTTAAGGAGTCCCACTTGGGATTAATCCCTGCCTGATGACTATGAATTAGATACATTTGATTGGTTGTGCATGTATAGACCCCCCATTGAAGGCGTGGATGAAATACTCTGAACTTGGTTTATTAAGGCCTGGATGTATCTCTCTTTCCTCTCTTGCACTCTCTAAGCTTGATTTTGGTTTATTAAGGGCTGTTCGATATGTGCACTATCTCGGAATTGCATTTTTTTAATCTAGTCTTGTTAGGGATTTTCAATCTTTAATAAACTATACAACTGCAAAGTATTAGAATACGTCAAAGCTGCCATGGCCCCTGCACTCTTTGCACTTTCTTTTTGCAAAATTCGTTAGAAATGGATTTGGTTTTGTTGGGGATCTGCAATGGTGGTGGTAGGTTTCTTTAGTGATATCAAACCTCAACAATGATCATTTTTTTGGGCCTAATCATTGTTATTGCTGCGTGAGTCATGCCATTTACCTCAGTTCTTCCCTTGTTTGGATGATTGGAGTCTTTTCCTCCCACTTGTATTGTTACTGAAACTTGATCTTAAGCTTTTGCTTTCCTATTTTCACTTGCCTTTGTTTGATAAAGCATGTAAACTTCTTTTCTAAAGTTGTGCAGAAACATTATGCTGTTTACTTTAGTTATAGGAGATAATGTTTATTTCCTGCTATTACATAGCACAGTGATGCCTTAATTTCAAAACATTTCTGGTTGTGAATCCTTGATTAGATGAACTGTCTTAAGCTATAAGGTTAAATAATCCTCAAGAAGTCAGATACCTTACTGGCTACTTGGTAGTAGTTAAATTGGAAGTATATTTGAATTGGTAAATTAAATGATCCTTCCTTGTCTTCAGAGAATTACATGGAAATACCATCGCTAATTGTTGGCACTTACAAATTGTAATGCCCTTTCTCTGTTTAATCATTGTGTTTTAAACCATTCTTATCTTTAAGTACTCTAGCCTCTAGGACCATATTGTCATTGGCTTTTCTTATGGGGTTTAATAATTAATCTTTAATATCGAAGCTGGAATTTTTAGTTCTTATAAAACACATATGAAAGAGAATGTTTTGCCCAATTAATATAGCATTAATGGTGGCATTATTTAAGAAAAACTTTTATTTAGAATTTGTTTTCCTTGAATCCAAGTGGAAGTTGTAGAAATAAAAATGTTAAGATGAATGAGTGGCCACATAAGAATGGATTAGATAAAAAATGATTGTATATGCCACAATATTGGTCGCGTGCAATGAAGGCCACGGGAGATATTATTGAAGAGAAATTGATGACTTTCTTTTTAAGTCCAGTAGAAAAGAGTAAATGGAGATTCAAAAGAACTTTAGAAAAAAATATTAAAAGATTTAGTGATAAATGTGGTTTCTGAGAATTTGATTTTCGATTAAGTTCAATGGCGAATGTGATTTATGTAGTCAATCTCATTTAGAATACGAATTGTTTGTTGTTTTCCTTGAATCCAACATATCAAAATGGTGAGCATGCTTCTTTTATTTATAACATGGATGGTTTTCCTCTTTGGTTTGTAAGTTATATCTTTGTTTAAGGAATTTTAGCTCAAGCAACTAAACATTTACAGGTGATGGAATTATTATATTAATTTTGTCTCTTTCAATTTTCAGCCCCAGGCACAACATATGATGGTTCCCATGCAAGGCCCAGAGTAGACATGGACCCTTCTTCCGTGTATGACGTGTGATTTAAATGCCGTAAAGCTTTAGTATTTGCCCTTGGCATATTGAAAGCATTTTATGATTTGTGAATACTGACTTTAGGAGATGTTGGTTCCTGACCAGATATTATTTATTAAGGCTTGCATATCATATTATCTTTGGAGAAGAATCATTATTCATAAGTTGTAAATCCCGGAACCATGCTTGTCTGATTCCATCAGTTGTCTTGGCAAAGACTAAAGATTTTATGTAACTGATTGGAAGCATAAATTGGTATAGTTCTTTACCTTCTTTTCTGTAGCACATTGGACGACGGTGCTGCCAAATTTAAAATCCTTTTGTTGTTGACGTGATGGGATTATGTTATTAGGCTGAGCAATAGTTTATTTTATCTATTCTCCCAATGCATATATTTATACTTGCGATAATGCCAATGACTACAGCAAACTATTTTTCCTGAGTTAGCTACATAAATCAAATAAGGGCGGTTTTACGTAAAAAATCATTTTAGAAATATTGAAAACATTTTTTTTTAACAAAATTTTTATAATAAAAATGTAATTAAAATAAGATTTTACTGTAAATCAAAAATAAAAATTAAAAATAATTTCTAAACCAGACAGCGTAAATGTATTCGTTTTCGAAAGGCCATTTGGATCAAGGTCGTTAATGGTTTGGGTTTCAAATCTTTCATACGTAACTCTTAACTCTTCTGAGGGGAGATTCGGTTGGTACTCTTCATTTCTCCGCACATTGGAATGTCAAAAATAATAAAAACATCGATTAATTTTTTAATCTTTATCATAAAATTAAATTTATATTAAAAAACTATGCAATATTTGGAAAAATTTGCAAGACGGAACTAATGGTATTTCATTTGATTTTGTAGTCGTAATGTCTATTTTTTTTTTTTCAAATTCAAGCTAACTTGTGAGATTGTTTTGTTGCTCTTTAGAGTATTGCTAGTAGATTTAAGAGAAACTGAAATACTCTTTCTCATATCTGTCCTTCTAATGGGAATATGATACAAACAATTAAAAAATGCACATAACCTTTTATAATTGCTTAACAATGTTACACTTCTCTTTTTATAATTACTTCTTTCATTTAGCTTATTTGTTTTCCTTTATTTTAACTTTACTTTTCTAGCAATTTATCCATTCTGTTGGATCACAGTTTGTACATCTTTTTCCTCTCTTAATGCTCAAAAAGTTTGACTATGTTTCTTGACCGGCCATGTCCAAGTTAGAAATAAAATGTAAGAGGTCCCACATTAAATAACTGCAAATAAGGTAACTAGTATATGAGAACAAGTATCCTACTATTTATTGTCTTAAAGTTTTAGATTAAAGTGTGATTAACGTGGTGTCCAAATTCCTTGCATCCCGTGCTAAATTTGGTGGTGACATTCTTCTTCAATGTGTGTGAAACATTCCCTCATTACAAGGATGTATGAATTTTAAACATGGAATTTGAATTCTCTTAAGTCTTTTGATTTATATATACATATAGACAAGGGAACGGACTAGGTTTAGAAAAGCATTTCAATAGAATCCAGTGAGTAAGCCAACAAATCTTGAATAATTACTAATCCCAACTGTTTCGGTAGCCTCCAGGACCAATTTTCTGCACATGTGATCAATAAAGCAAGGACTGGATTGAAGTAATTACGACATGTGAATAACACCAACAATGGTAAAACCGAAATTAAGCAACAAAAATGCTCAAAGAGATTGAATCAGACAATAAGTTTTGGGGCTAATGTAAGAACTCCCTTGTCGATTTTAATGTCATGTAGAAAAGACATCATACTTGCGTTCAAAGATTCATTGGAAGCTTGAGTCATAGCTGAAATGAGAATTAGAGTCTAATCCTTGAAGTACAAAAACCATTGCTATGGTAATTTTGAATTTTTTTATCGCTGTAGAGTGATGGAACGAGGCTGGAACTACATTGATTAGGTTAAATGGATGGAATGCTTATTTGTAAATTTTTATTGATGCTTGAATTTTCAAATGGGGGAATAGAAAAATGGGACAGAGGATTAGAAAAATTATTGGAACCTTGTCAAGTACTTGGGTTTATTTTAATTTACTCCCCTTTGATGTAACATATTACATACCCGTATTGGGACATTTACTTTTTCAATTGTGGTTTAGTAAAATTAATTGTATGTTTGAATTTATATTGAAATCACATAGATAATAAATTATAATTTTTATGCTAAATTTACTTCTAAAAACAAAATTTAGACATTACTTTAAATCTATTTTTAAACAAAATTAATTATTTAACATTTAATTCATTCAAATGATTTACAAATACTTACATAAACACACACTAAAAGGGTATTATCTATTACTCGAAGAATGGGGTTAGCATCAAAATTGGCAATCTGCAAGGAGTCCACGTCAAGTTTGTTTTCATGTGAGAAAATGCTTGGAAGGGGTGTGCTTGTTTGGTATAACAGTGAAGCCCTTTATCTTCTCCTAGACGTTGGTGGATGAGATAGATGACTAGGCCATAGCCATTTCACCTTTTATATCCTCTTCACATGACCACCCTATAATCTTTCCCAATTCGGCCTTTTCGTGTATAACTTTTATTTATTATAAATCTCTTAACAGCATTAACATTTTTTTAATATCTCCTCCTTCCTGTTATCATTTACACATTCATATCATCAATGCTTTTAGCATTTTGCTGACTGAGCCATTATCTCTATTGTTATTCATTCTACTGCCTATGCTTTTCTTTATTATTTTCCTATAAATATAAAGTTATGCAATATTTTTATGCGTTTTTGTAATTTCTAGTTAATTTATAATATTAATCATTGATGCAAAACTGAATGAACTCGTTATCTCACACTCTTTCTTTTCACGTACCCGTTACTATATATCCTAAATTTATCTAGTTTTCTTAGTCAGAAAGAGTAATTGTCTAGTCGAACTATAAGTGGAAACAAGTAAATGTTGAGTGCTCAAGTTAATGGCTAGGTCTACGAAATCAGGCCTATTAGTTATGATTTTTCTACGATGGAAAGAAGCTGAGGCAAAAGCACAACGTCCTAATCTGCTTTTTTTATTTTTTTAATTAGCCTAAAAGAGAAGAAGCAAGCCAATATCTTGGTGGAGTATTAGCTTGTAATTCCATAATTATTAAATAAACACTTGATTAAGTTGAAAATCTAAACACTCCATAAGAACTATTTTTTAATTCTTATTAAATAAAGCAAAATTTCTTACGTTAAGTCTTTAATTTTAAATTTTTAATCTACTGTATCAAATATATTTCTTACATTAAGATTATTGTAATCTTAATAAATTCTTAATACACTCTATTGATTTCTTTTAACAATGGATGAAAAACTTGCTAGTTGAACTATTAATAAACAATCTTGTAAGATACTTGATAACAGAAGACTTTCTCAATCATATGTTAATCGATAAGTTCATTTTAATGATCACTGGTATTTGGCGATAGAGAGCATCCATTGTTATGACATGGTTACTTTACAAGTTGACCTTTTTTGTTTTTTCCCTTAACACACAAGTTATTCTTTTTCTATCTCGTGTTTCACAGTTAACAAATTTAATTGATCATTGCTTATGGAGAATTTGATTATAGATTTCTTCCTATTTCCTCCCCCTATCCCTAAAAAAAGGTTTGTAATTTGTGCTCCCACATTACCATTATGATTGTCATCATAACTAATGAACAAAATTAAGTGAGCTTTCCCTATCCTTAGTGAAAATAAGAGAAAAAAGCTACTCCTTTCTCTTGTCGTTTCTTCTCTTTTAGGCTCCTAAAAATGAAAGATTAAAAGAACGTAGGCATTAAGTATTGGGTATATTATTATTTATTATTATTGGTGACTAGTTGAGAAGGGAATAAAGAGCAAAAAGAAAAAGAATATAAAAATAATGAAAGAGCTAAAATGGATGAGGTGCTGTACTCAACGGCTCTCAAAGCACTGGGCTTATCCCTTAGATTCGAGGCCCAAAACCACATCACAAACTCATCATCATGGAACAAGGTGCTTCTCCACCATGAGACATTTTTAGCCCTTGCAAGTTTAGAATCATGCTAACCTTAGCCCCCCAAAACAACAAAGAATTTAGACTCGTGTTATTTGGTCTAAAAAGTAATTGTAGCTGATTCTCTGTTTATAAAAAATGCTTATGTTTTACTATTAAAGTCTCTTTTAATAAAGATTCTTTTATAAAAGATATATGTAAAAAAAAATGCTTAAAATTATGTATAGTAATAAAAAGAGAAATAGTTATGAATCAATCCTGACTTTTGATCTATAGTCTGTTAGCTTGTTGGGATGCTTTTATGATAAACTATTAAATCAGGTGATTCGATAGTAATTAGTAAATCATAATTATGTGTAGTTTGATTAAATTTAAGATTAATAAACGGTCAAGATATTTGAGGACATAATAGTAATTATCAGCTATATCATTTTGTTGCAAAGTAATTTTTTGTTTCCAAATATAGTTTAATTAAATATTTATTTAATATATTTTTATATGAAAGCTTGTGTTTTGAGTCACTTTTAAGAATAATATTTAATAAAATTAAATATTTTACTAAAATTTAGTATATTATTATTGACAAAAATATTATTCTTCTAAAGACAAGTTATTTATATTATTGCAAACTACATCATTATTAATGTTCTATTCCAATTTTTTTTTTACATTAAATTTCACACATACTTAATAATGTCTCATGTAAATTTTTAGTAAGTATATACTGATACCAAACTATTCAAAAATTATCTACTATAGTCTCATAAAAATAATGCAATGTAAAAGTACAACAAGTTTTCATATTTGGTATCAATGTATCACAAAACTTACACACTTTTGATAAAATCGTCAATTCGTGTTTGGTCTAATTCCTCTGCACCAGAACTACATTAAGCAATAGACATCATACAAATATTACTATTCCCTTAGGACTTTCCAAATTTTATGTAATGTCTGCACTAGACACAATTTTGAACTACTACCTATAGTGAAAAAAATATAAATGTAGTGATAAGTTCATTGAATATTGTAGTCTTTATTACCATTACACTTTCACATCAACATATCATTCATATTTTTTCTCAATCTTTTACCTTCCATAATCTTCTACAGCTGTTGTTGTAAATCCTCTTTCCATGAAAGTAATTATCTTTTATAATGAATTTTCTATACCTATTGGTCTATCTTAAATCGTCTACTATCCACTACACATGTCTCCTTATTAGTTGCTATTAAAAATAACATTGAGTATGAATTTGTTAATATAGTATTTTCTACCCATTTATCTCTATAAAAACTAAAGGAACAACTATCATCAAAAACTCATGTGACATTAGAATTTACCTATTCATTGACCTGCTTACAAACTCATTCCACGTTCCTTGACATCCACCAATCTGAAGCATTATGAATCACCTCAAAAAAAAATAAACATATGAGTACATGATTTATACTGCGCCCGTATCACATTAAAGGACAAAAAGTTTGAAAATTTCACTTCTCTCTGAATTCATTTATCTCACCCTAAACTGCCTTCGTTTTTTATCATGCATACTTTTTGCCTATTTAATCTAATCTATTTTTGATAAAATTTTCGCGCCATTTCAAATAAATCGACGTTGAATCTTTATTATTTCTTTAATGATACTTAATGATATTCTCCAAAAAGATAAATAATATAGTAAAAGACTGACTAAAATAACATTAAAAATATATATTTTTTAATTCTTGTAATTGAAGTTTTGAAAAGTTTCAACAATAAATATTTATTTAGTGAAAAGTAAACAAAATTTTTTCAATAGTTATGTTATACGGTTCAATTCGATCAAACTATAACCTAATTTGAGTTATATGATTTAATTTTTATATTTGTATTTTTATTTTAGTTAAAAGATGATAAATAATGATTTTAATATATTTCATATAATTTTTGTATTTTAAAAATATTAATTGTAATTTTTTTAAAAATAATTTAAATAATTGATAATAATAATAATAAATTAATAAAAAAATTACACTTCTAACCTTAATATAATAAATAAGTTTTTTTTATAAGATATATATTTTTAATTAAAATTTGAGATTCATAAAACTCTTTTATTAAAAATGATATTTACATAAACACAATATTTGTATAATAAACAAATCTGATTTATTAAAAATAAAATAATTGTAAATACATTAAACTAATATCATGTGTCTCTTACAAAGAAAAAATGCATTTGTGAATATATATACATATAAGAAAGCATTGCATATATACTTAGAAGCAAAATTAACAAATACAGTTTTACGTGTATACATGTTTGAATTATAATTTGATTGATTTTTAAAATTAGATTCAAAATTTAATCTAACTTAGTAACAAAAATTCAATTTTGTGATTTAAATTTTTTTATTTACTTTTTTTAGTATAACCTTTTTTAAGAGGATAGAATGATATTTTATTTTAAAATAAAAAAATTGTCAAACTCAAAAAATACTTAAAAATTTATTTTTTTAATATTTTGTAACTAGTATGATGTATTTCTGTTTTAGTTTATTTTAAAATTTAATTGAAATGGTCATACTCCATTTTAATTTAAAGATATATTTTCTTTTTAGACAGATAAAATTTTAATTATTATAATCACATTCAATTTTATTTGAATCATTTTTTATATTTTAAATTATGAGATAATGTATCGTTAACCTGATAAAAATAAATTTTATATTAGTTTATTTTTAAATCGCTGACACAAGTCAATATAAATTATTTTTTTTATCAATTCATTATGTTTGATGTTAATTCTTATATAATTTTTAATTTAGATTATAAAATATTCATAAATTTTAATTTAAAAATTTTATTTATCTTTAATTTAATCTTACCTTTATATGAAAAATATTAGTCTTATTTAATACAATATAATATTTATTATTAATAATATATTTTTAATAATTTTATTTATATTTTATTTTAAATCAATACTATAACTATAACTAATAAATTTTCCTTGCACGTGAATCATTAAATTAAATTATATTTTAACTAATTTTTTTAAAAAAAAAATATTATATGATTAGTTTTTAATTTAATAAAGTATATATTTTTAAAAAGAGTAAATACTATAATTAATAATAATAAATATTTTATTATATTAAATAAACTAAAATTAACATTTTATTTAAAAATATATAACATAAATAAAATCACTCTAATAAAAATATTAAAAAAGTTATTGCTTGATAATAATTATAAAAAAATTAATTTTAAAATACACCTAAAATAAATAAATCCTAATAAATATTTTCCAATCTCATAATTATTGATTAACAATTAATTCTGAAGACCATATCGTCATTAGAGGAAACAAACGACATCTTAATCGCAAGAAATAAAATCTAAAAGATAATAAAAAGGGAGAAACGAAGAGATTGATTAAAATTTTGATGGGTATATAAGAGTGGATGGCAATTGATAGAGGCATTGATCAAGCTTAACGCACCTCATTAGCAGCGCATCAATTCCGAAGTAATTAGCATTAGCAAGCACTCTAATCGGTAATTATCAACAAACATAACTATTTACACTATCACCACCCTATGTTTTTTCCAACTTGCAAGCTTTCGTGTGCAATCACCCTCTCCCTTGGTTTTCTCCAATTTCTGTTATTATTTTTATTTTATAATTTCGGCAATCGTTTATCAATTCAATCTCTTATTCTCTCTCAGAGGAAACAATTCGGCGATAAAGTGAGACGAAGACGCAGGAGAAGATAGAAGGAAAGCGTTTCCTTAAAAATCACCATAAAATCGTGTTTATTTTGTTCATTCAAAAACTGGGTCTTCGACTTTCTCGAAGACCGATTAAGAACTACGACTAGGTACTACAACACAGATAACCATTGAAACTGTTGCCGTTTTGAGTCTTAAAGTTTTCGTCACTGATCGTGTTATTTTTGCTGTCATTGTTTGTTTCTTCATTATGATTGCTTTGTCCTTTTTTGTATTTAATGTTTTAAACATATTTTTTTTACCCTTTGTTCGTGATGCACTCAGGACGTGTTTGTGTAATATCTATTGTGGAACTTGTTGGTTTTGATTTGTTTGTTTGAGGTTTCGGTTGTTTTCTTTTAAATTGATTTAGTCTTTTGCTCCTAATGCGATTTCCTTGGTGGGAAGCAAAGTGGTTTGTGATGTTTTGATGTTATGAGAATGCATCATGGACGGACACCTACTGCAGCACTTTCACTTTTTTTAATTTGAGGGATTGAGGTTCGGCCTGATGTGATGACTGATTAACTGGAATGATGTTGAAAATTAAGAAAAATGGTTGCTTGTGCTGTTTATATTCGTGGACAGCTTTGAATGAGGGAAGAGTTTGGTTGCTTTGGACTGGAGTTATGAGCTTACCTTTTTTTTTATCCAAAAGAACTGAAATGACACAATGTCAGTTTTTGGCTCAGAATCCAAAGTTGTTTGGCCTATATGTGATTGAGGAGTTATGATAATGAATGAAAATTGACGATGTTTTGAACTGCACAGGGGTCTTCTTCCATTGGGGTGTAGAAGCAATTAATGGAAAGTCGAGGTCAAAAGCGTTCAGAAATGACAGATGGACTGCCTGCCGATAAGCGGGCATGCAGTTCTAGACCAAGTTCTTCAAACTCATCAGCTCAAACCCATATGAATTCAACACAGTCAACAGTGGAAGCCCATGATAATGACATGGATACTTCATCATCTGCTTCGGCTTCTAGCCGATCAGAGGGAGAGCCAGAGAAGGATTCAACTTATGGATCATGTGATTCAGATGACATGGAGCAGCATCATAACAGTCTCTATGAATATCATAGGCGGAGACTATCCAGTGATCATGGAAAATTTAAAAATATTATCTCTAGCTTGAGTGGGGAGACTGAACCTTCTGGTCAGTTAGCTATACTTACCGAACTTTGTGAAGTTTTGTCATTTTGCACAGAGGGTTCACTTTCCAGCATGACTTCAGACTTGTTATCACCACTACTTGTAAAGCTGGCAAAGCATGAGAGTAACCCAGACATAATGTTGTTTTCTATAAGGGCTATCACCTATATATGTGATTTGTATCCTCGGTCAGCTGGTTTTCTTGTTCGCCATGATGCTGTTCCTGCTTTATGTCAAAGATTATTGGCTATCCAGTATCAAGATGTGGCTGAACAAGTAATTATTACTTGCTTGTTTGTTCGTCTGTAATATATGTTTTTTAATAGAAATAAAGGAATATAAGTTATTGATGTTGTATTTATGTAGTGTCTCCAAGCATTGGAGAAAATATCTCGAGAGCAACCACTTGCTTGCTTACAGGCTGGGGCAATTATGGCTGTTTTAAACTTTATTGACTTCTTCTCAACAAGCATACAGGTAAGTCTCTAGCACAACAGGGCATCATCTTTAAGAGTAATGACCATTATTTTTTGCCATCCTTAAAAATCAATATGTTATAGTGTAAGTTAATAGAGGAGTGAAGAATTGTTTTCTTGTTTTACACATTCTCTCCCCCCTTCACCAGAGAGTGGCTCTTTCTACTGTGGTGAACATATGTAAGAAGCTTCCTTCTGAAAGCCCTTCACCTTTCATGGAGGCTGTGCCCATATTATGCAATCTTCTTCAGTATGAGGATCGCCAGGTACCAATAATGAATTTAAGATGGTTGTAATGCAAATTTGTATCTGTTCATTCTGTTGTGGTTTCATCTTCTTTTTGTAATATTTACTGACCTGCAAATGTACTTCTGAAGCTTGTCGAAAATGTTGCTACCTGCTTAATCAAAATTGTGGAGCGAGTTGCTCAGTCCTCTGAAATGTTGGATGAACTTTGTAAGCATGGATTGATCCAACATGTTACACATCTTTTAAGTTTAAATGGACGGACAACCCTATCTCAATTAATTTACAATGTAAGCATTTTTTCCTGTCAAATTCTTATCCTAAAAATTTCCCCCTTATTCTTATGAACTTCGAAGTTGATATGAATCTATTATTTTGCTTGGCAGGGATTGATAGGATTACTTGTCAAACTTTCATCTGGATCAGTTGTAGCCTTCAGGACTTTATATGAGCTCAATATAAGCAGCATATTGAGAGATATATTATCTACATTTGACCTCTCACATGGAGTCTCAACGTCACAGCTTGGTGATGGACATTGTAATCGGGTATGCAGCTAATGCTTGACACCATTGTCTTTAACTGGTGTGCAGCAGCGCAGTTTGATTAATTTCCTGTTTCAAAAGTGGAGAGTATTAACATTTTCGTTTGGTTGTGTTGAATTTGGTAGTTGGTAATGTTTTCGTATTAACAACTGGTCCATTTCTTCAAGCTTAGAAAATTAATTATGGGGTACAACTTTATTAGACCTTTTTTTCAGATGTTTGTAGCTTTTGAGAAAACACAAACATTTTTTTGGTTTTTTCACATTTTTTTCAAAAACTAACGATTATTAAAAAAATTTATAATCTTCTTTCAATTAAAAAAAGCCTTTAATCAAACTGAAAAATGGATTGAGTGTGCGGGCACAATTACTTGTTCATATCTGAGAATCTATGACAATATGGCTCTGTATCCCCATAACCGGTGTTGGATATTGGATGTTTGATCCTCCACCTGACTATTTATCCTCCTTTCCCATTGGCTTGGTGGTCCAGATAAATGTCCTTCAAAAACATCCAAATCAATCTATTAAGTTGGGCAGTCTTAATAATCAAACATGAATATCCTTTGGAAATTTAAGGAAAAATGCATCCAAAAGTTTACAAACATTATTTTGTATCTCCTAGATATATGTTGTATTCTAATCGATTTGGTAGGTGAAATTTATCATTATTTAGCACTGGCCAGTTTAGTTGTGAACAATCTTGATTCATAGATTACTGGTGAATTCATTTTCTTTAGAAAATTCTTATGACTTGAGCCATACTGCATTAGGTATTTAGAGTTAAATTTATTCCTCTTGTTTTGTTTGTTGAAGATTTTTCTTCATATTTATTTAGCACTGTCATTCAGAAATGCAAGGGAAGGTTTTTTCTTCTTATAAACTCAAGTTTGTGTCATTTGAGGGATTTCTTAAAAATAAGCATCATGAAAGATTTGTCATATAGTTTGCTGACTTTCTAGGTTTATGAAGTACTCAAATTGCTAAATGAGCTTCTCCCTGGTGGGGCTAAAGATCAGAATGATCAACTGATGCTAGACAAAGAATCCTTTCTAGCTAATCGCCCAGATCTCCTGCAAAGGCTTGGGATGGATGTGTTTCCCATGTTAATCCAGGTTCGTTTATTTTCTTGTAATTAGCTAAGTTCTCTTCCTTTTTTATTACATTGCAATACCCACTTCATCCTTTTACAGGTGTTCAACTCTGGTGCGAGTTTATATGTTTGCCACGGATGTTTATCTGTTATGTACAAGCTAGTTTGTTTGAGCAAATCTGACATGCTTGTTGAATTGCTTAAGAATGCCAATATTTCAAGGTGAAATAACCTTTTCCTTACTGTTGCAATATAAAATGCATTTTGTTAAATATATTGATGATTTTTATCTGGTTAATATGGCAGTTTTTTGGCTGGAGTATTCACTCGAAAGGATCACCACATGCTGATGCTAGCCTTACAAATTGTTGAGATAATCCTTCAAAATTTTTCAGATGATTTCTTGAAGCTGTTTGTTAAGGAAGGTGTCTTTTTTGCCATTGATGCACTCTTAACACCAGAAAAATCTTCACAATTGATGTATCCGGTATTTAGTGGCATTCAGCTGTCGTTGGATGCCAGTCAAAAGTCTGCTTCAAGAGAGGCCCTCAAGTGCCTATGTTATGCATTTTCAACTGGACAATCTCCTACATCATCAGAAGCTGGAAATTGCAAACTTGACAAAGACTCTGTTTATAATCTTGCAGAGATGATTAAAACAAAATACTTAGCTCCAGAATTATATGACTCTGAGAAAGGATTGACTGATATTCTACAGAATCTCCGAGCACTTTCTAATGATTTGTTGAGCATGTCTACTGACAGTAGTGCTCTTGCTTTGCATGAAGAGAAGATCAATAGTATACTGTATCAGATTATGAACAAACTTACTGGCAAGGAACAGGTTTCGACTTTTGAATTTATTGAAAGTGGAGTTGTGAAGTCACTTGCTAACTTTTTATCTGTTGGTCAGTATACAATGGAAAAAAAGGCAGTACAGGTTGCTGTCATAGAAAAACGTTTTGAGGCTTTGGCTAGTGTATGCTTATGTGCTGCTCAGCCTCTCTCTGGTGAAACTCCCCTTTCTATATTAATTAGGAACCTGCAGAGTGCCCTGACTTCATTGGAAGCTTTCCCTATTATTCTGAGCAATGGGCCAAAACTGAGAAATTCATATGCTACCGTTCCTAATGGGTGTTCCATTCCTTATCCTAGTTTGAAAGTCCGTTTTGTCAGGGGTGATAATGAGACTTTGCTGAATGACTACACTGATGATTTTCTTACTGTTGACCCATTTTCCTCTTTGGATTCCATTGAAAGATATCTACGGCCAAAGGTCAGTGTCAAAAGCACAGAGCATGTTAGTCCATCATCCATCCAAGTGTTGCAACCCGAAAGCCCACCCCTTCAATCACCATCAAATGCAAGTTCCTGCCCAGTTGAAATCCCAGTAATTTTGGGGCCTGCTGACATGACTACAGATCTCTCCGAAACACAGGTAAGATTTGTAATCATGGTTATTTATGAATGGAAGTGTCTTTTTGTGTGTGTCTGTGTCATTTCGTTTGTAAATTTGTCTTATTTTTGGGAATTGAATGGTTGTTTCTTAATTTAAATTTTTTTTTAATACAACTACACATATTTTGCAGAGAGAAAAGCCAAAGTTGTCTGTCGATGTGAATGCTGGGGAATCGTCATCCTCTGGAACTCAGGTAGTAATAATATTTCTAATTAGTTAATAATGCAGATTATTCTTGTTTATTATTTGTGTCAAACTTAGTTAATACTTATTCTAAATAATTGTTCTTTGCATGTAGTGTTGATGCATTTTCTAATTTGTGTTATTTGTTTTTAACATTTATCAACCAACATTATATTTTTTCTGATTACTTGAAGATAATTTTCTATTTGTTTTTGAGAATTTGAGATGTCTTGATGCTTGATAATTTTCTATTTTTTGGTATTCTTGAATTAACATTTGTGCTATGCTGAAATTAATGCTTGCTAGTTATGCTGTTCTTATTGTATCTCTCTCTCAATAAAATAAAATAAAATCTGCTACTTATTTTATTTTCTGTTTTATCATGAATCATTATAACAAGTATATTATAATTTTATGTGCACTTAAGAATATATATAAACTTTTTTGCATATTTCTAATAGGGGTATGGTGAACAAGAACTGCAATTCAGTGCAGAACCAGACTCAACGCTAGAAAGACAGGATCCTTCATCTTGTAGTGATGAAACTTCTCAAAAACTTGTTTTTTACCTTGAAGGACAATGTCTGGATCATAAATTGACTTTATATCAGGCAATTCTTCGCCATCTAATTAAACAAAATGATTCTTTTTCTACTGCAAAACTATGGTGTCAAGCGCATATATTAACCTATGGAAGGGCTGTGAAACCTGAGGACATAATACCTCCAGACTGTCATTCTTCGCATCAAGATTTCTCTAATGATAAAGTTCTAGCTTATTATCAGCATACTCCTTTTTTCTCAGACATGTTCTCTGTTGATCTTATTTCTGATTTGGAGAAGTCAAGTCCAACTTATGACATTTTGTTTCTTCTTAAGAGCTTAGAAGGCATGAACAGATTTATATCTCACCTTATATCCCGTGAAAGAATTTGTGCTTTTGCTGAAGGGAAAGTTGATAACCTGGATGACCTAAAAATAACAGTTCCTTCTGTGCAACAAAATGAGTTTGTAAGCTCTAAGTTGACAGAGAAGCTAGAGCAACAGATGAGGGACTCTTTGGCAGTATCCATTGGTGGTATGCCTTTGTGGTGTTGTCAATTAATGGCTTCATGTCCTTTTCTATTTAGTTTCGAGGCAAGATGCAAGTACTTCAAATTGGAAGCATTTGGTCACCCACAAATTCAACCTCATATGTCCTACAGCAGCTCAGGAACAGTGAATGACAGGCGACTGAGCCCTGGTGGATTGGCTCGAAAGAAATTTTTAGTTTATCGTGACCGTATTCTGGAGTCTGCTGCACAAATGATGGACCTACATGCCAGTAATAAAGTGGTTCTTGAAGTGGAATATGATGAAGAAGTGGGCACTGGTCTTGGACCAACTTTGGAATTTTACACGTTGGTGTGCCAGGAGTTCCAGAAATCTGGCTTGGGTATGTGGAGAGAGGACTCTTCTTCCTTTACCGTCAAGACAAATTGGCAGGCTGAGGAAATTGGAGTCTATTCTCTTTGTGGACTCTTTCCTCGTCCGTGGTTATCAGTACAAGATACATCCAGTGACATACAGTTCTCTGAAGTAAAAAAGAGATTTTTCCTTCTAGGCCAAGTTGTTGCTAAAGCACTTCAAGATGGAAGGGTCTTAGATCTCCACTTCTCTAAAGCCTTCTATAAACTTATTCTTGGAAAGGTAATCAGTTTTGGATTCAATTGACAAACTTCTCATGAGTTTGCAACCAGCAACACAAACTAAAATTTATAATAATGTACATTATAACTGACTGAATCTCTCTATGTGCTTATTACCATGTTTTTGTAGGAACTTTCTCTCTATGACATACAGTCCCTTGACCCTGGGCTTGGTAGGGTGCTGCGAGAGTTTCAAGCACTAATTAACCGGAAAAAAATTGTGGAATCTGTCTGTGGAGGGAATTCTGAATTGCAATATGAACTGAGCTTTCGAGATACCAGAATTGATGATCTTTATATTGATTTTACTCTTCCTGGCTATCCTGATATTGTTCTTGCTTCAGGGCCTGATCATTCCATGGTAAGGCATTGCTTAATATTTTTGCTATTCAATTTTTTCTTTAATAACTTCAATGGCAGAATAGAAGCTATATGTGTTCATCATTTTTTGTAGGTAAATATGAGAAACCTGGAGGACTATGTTTCACTAATTGTGGATGCAACTGTGAGGTCTGGAATTTCACGACAACTGGAAGCTTTTAAGTCTGGCTTTAACCAGGTCTTTCTCTTTGTCTTAATAATAGTCAAAATTCTTTATTAGCTGCTTCTGTTTTTTCAAATGAGTAATGACCCACTGTTTAAATTAAAACAAGGAACTTTTTGGTTGTTTCAGTCTGTGTCTGATAAAATTGAAGAGAATTGCATCTCAAAAGGGAAAAAAAGCCCAAAAAAATTGGGGTTTCATAAGGGCAAAACTTAGGTGCTATCAGTATTGTTTACTAATTGAAATTATAATTTTATCTCTGTAATCTACAATAACATTTATTGCAAACCTACTATTAAAATAAAACTTTAATTTTAATTGGTAAATAATACTAACAACATGTAAAAAACAACACATAAGTTTTGACCTACCTTTACATAATACATGATGGACAAAATGAGCTGTGTTTGAAGCTAACTTCTGTAAACAAGAGTAAGAGTGTTATTATCTTTTGTCGTTTGAAGGGCTGCATTATGAGCTATGGCTCCCATTTTTGAACTAGACGAGTTTTGGAGAAAAAGGACGGGAAAGAGAGAAAATAGATGCTTTGTTGAAAAAAGCTGAGAGTAAAAAAAACCACCCTGGCTACAACTTATTATACATCTGTTCTTTTGTTTGGTGTCCAGTTCATTTGTCTGGCCTCTCATTATTATTATGTGTTCTCTGATCAATCGATCAGGTGTCTAAGTAGGTTTTACAATTGTTGCTAAATTCCTTGGGTAATGTACATGGCTGTTGGAACTTCATGCATATCTGTGTCTGATGTTGGCATTGATATAATCTTGTACTTCATTTAGTGCCCTCGTTTTCATTATCCTTTATATGCTGGCAAATTAGAGCAGGGATTCACTGAGAGAAGTCTGATGTTTAAGACTACGGAACCTAGGTCAAATACTTGGACTATTATGCTGTTTATATGTGATACTTTTGTTTAATATAATATCATAAATAGGTTTAGTGTCTCAACTGTTTAGTAAGTTATTTCTGTATGTGTTCATGACAGGTCATCAACATTAGTACACTTAATATTAGGTTTTCCTTAGGATTTACCATTTAATTTTTGATATATTTTGTTGTCATTTTAAATTCCTTTTTTTCTTTCAAACTTGTTTTCAACTTTCAGGTTTTCCCCATCAAACATCTACAGATTTTCAATGAAGAAGAGCTTGAGCGTATGCTCTGTGGAGAGTACGATTCTTGGGCTGTGAGTATAAATTTCATTTTCTTAATCAATTGGTATACATTTCCTTTTCTTGTAGAGAGGATAGGAAGAGCACTAACAACAACAACAATAATAATAATGTCTTGTTACCAGATCAATGAGCTGGCAGATCACATTAAGTTCGATCATGGGTACACTGCTAGCAGTCCTCCTATTGTTAATGTAAGCATTCTTGTACTTTTACATACGTCTGATCATATGTTCTGAATTCTTTTTTTTATAACCTGAATCTCATAATTTATGAACTACCTACTGCTGTGGACTCAGTTGTTGGAGATTATTCGAGAGTTTGACCATGAACAGCGACGAGCATTTCTGCAGTTTGTGACAGGTGCACCCCGGCTTCCTCCAGGTGGATTGGCATCTCTCAACCCAAAGTTGACTATTGTCCGAAAGGTGTACACCAGATTATACTTCATATTTTTCAGTGTGACTTTTGTACTTGATTGTTTTCTTTGTATTTTCTACTTATACCCGTTTGTGTTTTAACAGCATTGCAGCAACCGGGCAGACACAGACCTACCAAGTGTGATGACTTGTGCAAATTATCTTAAGCTACCTCCGTACTCATCAAAAGTATCGCTCCAATTTTCACTATTCCAAACTTATATTAGTAAAAACACATCAAACATATTTTAGATTTTTTTTTTTTTCTTGAGCCTAAAATATTCTTTGGTACTTTATTCATTTTCAGGAAAGGATGAAAGAGAAGCTCTTGTATGCCATAACGGAGGGTCAAGGATCTTTCCACCTTTCATAACTTCACTCTCTTGACTGGATCCGTATTTTGAATCATGAAGATGTAATTATTAGGGTAAGTGATAGTAATGTAAATAAGGTTGTTAACGAGTTGCTGGCAGTGGTGCTCACAACGAGCTACTTGGGGATGGAGCTACTGTCTTCACTGACTAAATTGTTGGGGGTGTGTACATAGCAGCATGCTGATAGTTTAGTTGATTGACTAGTGTCAGCTGTACAGAAACGGAGGGCACTTTCCAGGGTCATGCTTTGATATTTGATGTACAGTATTTTATGTACAGGAACTTTTATCATTAATATTTATTAGTCGTTGACGTGCAATTATAATAGCTGCTTTCTTTGCTTCTGCCTACACCTGGGATATTGGATTTCCCTTGGAAGTTTCGTACCGCATTTTTCTTATTTATCATTTTTACTTCCATTTACAGTTTTGCAATGTGACATGTAAAAAAATTGAGATGACTTGAGCTCACATTAAGCAACTGTCTAAAATTTTGCTTAGTTGTGAATGTGAAAGCTTAAGTGGTATCACACACTAATTATGTAGCCTGTAGGTTCTAAATCCGCCTTAAAAGTTAAACTCGTGTTTATAAGAATGAATTGAATGTAAGGAAGGATTTCTGACTATAGGTTCTTGATAGTTCAAAACTACAAAAGCTTCTAAAAGATTTTCTGTACATGCAAAATTGATTAATTTTAAACTATCAAGTGAATTTAAGGAATTGAGTTGTTGGGTTTTGAATTATAATTGACTGTACAATTGATATATAATTGTATGTTTTTTCTGTTCATCTTAGCAAATCTGCAAGTCTACTCAAATATGAAATGTACATAAGCCGTTGAAGTTCAAGATATGGTACAAATTGTACAAATTTTAACGATAAGATCAAATGTAACACAGATATGAGAAGATACTTCTTTTTTAAATATGGTTGGAGTTGTATGCAATGCAGACTATCCGAATCCATCCATTTCCTTGCGGCAGGTGAAGTGCATGAGAAAAACTAGAGGACGGAACCCAAAAAACATATTCAGTAGCAATTCCATTATTACAACATCTCCCAAAAATCTATAGCAACAATCATATTTATACCTAAGGTATTGCTACTTAAGGGTGCTCATTAAAATTTAATAAAAATTATTAGAAGTTACATTAAACATACATTAAAAACTTCTTTATTAGAAATTATACTTTTTGCAGTAATTTTTTTATTTAATCATTCTCTTAAAAGCACTGATTAATGTTTATCGTGCATATATCTGCCTGCACAATCTACCACGCTTTTTAAATTTTCTTTCCTTTTTTCTTGTTTTTCATCAATCCCCTATTTGTTCCAGAGAAAAAAGCTGAAAATAAATTAAATAAAAATAAAAAATTGTTTCCAAAATCAAAAGTCAATTATTATTATTATTATCCTTTCTTTATTTCTTCAACTAAATAAAAAATACATTATAATTCATATTTTTAATTTTTCTTTCCTAGTATCTGCACGAACCAGAAGTATACACGTACACATAACATAAACCTTTTTCTTTCCTTATCCTGTTTTCTGAAATGGGGGAGCAACATCAGCCATGAACGCAACATTACTACAAACTCCGTTCTCTACAACCTCCACTTCACCATTCCCACACTCTCACCACCCTTCCCCTCCCTTCAAACTCACCATCTCACACGCCAACCCCTCACTCGCCACAACCACAACCTCCCAACCACGCGACCAAAACCTTCTTTTTCTCTTACGCGAACGCAAAACTGAAGAAGCTTGGCTCGCTTACACCAACTCCGCTCACCTCCCAAACCCCACTTGCCTTAGCCGCTTAGTCTCCCAACTATCTTATCAGAACACCCTCTCCTCCCTCACACGCGCCCAATCCATCGTCACGCGCCTCCGCCATGAACGCCAGCTACACCGCCTTGACTCCAACTCCCTCGGCCTCCTCGCCGTCGCCGCCGCCAAGGCCGGCCACACCCTCTACGCGGCCTCTCTCGTCAAGTCCATGCTTCGCTCCGGCTACCTCCCCCACGTCAAGGCCTGGACCGCCGTCGTCGCCCGCCTCGCTTGCTCCCCCGATGACGGCCCCTCTGACGCGCTCAAACTCTTCCGTGCAGTCACGCGCCGCCTCCGGAAACTCCCCGACCCTGACTTCGCCGCCGATTCGCGCCCCGACACGGCGGCGCTAAACGCCGCGCTTAATGCCTGCGCGAATTTAGGCGACGCCGAGGCGTTCTGCCAACTGTTCGACGAAATGCCTCAGTTCAATGTTGAACCTGATGCGCTCAGTTATAACACATTGATGAAGCTGTGTGTTAAAATTGATAGAAAGGACTTGCTAGTGTTTATTTTGGAAAGGGTTCTTCAGTTGGGTATTCCTCTTTGTATCACCACTTTGCATTCCCTTGTTTCTGCTTATGTTGAATTTGGTGATTTGGAAATTGCTGAGAAAGTTGTTCAAGCAATGAGGGAACAAAGGAAAGACCTTTGCAAATTACTTAGGGAGTCTAATTTAGAATATTCAAGTGAAAATGATAATGATAATGATGATGGTGGTGGTGGTGGTGTAGAAGAAGAATATTTTGTTTTTAAGAAATTGCTTCCGAATTTGATGGATAAGAGTGGGAATGAACCACCCTTGTTGCCAAAAGCATATGCTCCAAATACAAGGATGTACACCACTCTAATGAAGGGTTATATGAAAGCAGGGCGTGTTAGTGACACAGTGAGAATGCTCGAGGCAATGCGGCATCAGGATGATAAGGGTAGTCACCCTGATCATGTTTCTTACACCACTGTGGTTTCAGCACTTGTCAAGGTTGGTTCCATGGACCGTGCTCGTCAAGTTCTTGCTGAAATGACAAGGATTGGTGTGCCTGCCAATCGCATAACATACAACATTCTCCTTAAGGGTTATTGCAAACAGCTGCAGATAGATAAGGCGAGAGAGTTGCTTAAGGAGATGGCTGATGATGTAGGGATTCAGCCTGATGTGGTGTCCTATAATATACTCATTGATGGGTGTATTTTGGTTGATGACAGTGCTGGAGCTCTTTCCTTCTTCAATGAGATGAGGGCAAGAGGGATAGCTCCCACCAAGATTAGTTACACTACTTTGATGAAAGCTTTTGCTTTCTCGGGTCAACCAAAGCTGGCTCGCAGGGTCTTTGATGAGATGGTCAATGACCCGCGAGTGAAGGCGGATTCAATTGCCTGGAACATGCTGGTTGAAGGGTATTGTAGGTTGGGGTTAGTGGAAGAAGCAAAGAAAGTGATTCAGAAGATGAAGGAGAATGGGCTTAATCCTGATGTGGGCACTTATGGGAGTTTAGCCAATGGAATTGCTTGGGCTAGGAAACCAGGAGAGGCACTTATTCTTTGGAATGAAGTGAAAGAAAGGTGGGAAGTGGGAAAGGAAAGGGGCAAGGTTGATTGTTCTAATGTTTCCCCATTGATACCTGATGAAGGGCTTTTAGATACTCTTGCTGATATATGTGTGAGGGCTGCTTTCTTTAGAAAGGCTTTGGAAATTGTGGCTTGCATGGAAGAGAATGGGATTGCTCCCAACAAGACCAAGTTTACTAGAATCTATGTGGAAATGCATTCAAGAATGTTCACTAGTAAGCATGCTTCCAAGGCTAGACAAGACAGAAGAGTAGAGAGAAAAAGGGCTGCTGAGGCTTTCAAGTTTTGGCTGGGTTTGCCTAATTCCTATTATGATGGAAGTGAGTGGCGGTTACAACCTATGGAGGGGTATGAATCTACTACCACTGATTGGGTTTAGTTGCTTGCTCATGCTGCTACATCATGCTGTGTCAAAACAAACTCTAGTGTAAGTAAGGGATCGTGTACACTAGAATGTAGAAAATCAATGTAACTTAAGGAAAAGGGAAATTTTTGTGATTTTTTTTAGCACATCGGTGTCCACTCTTTCTTGCATTCACAAGAGAATCATGGATCTTTTATATCTTACTTTTTATGTTTCAAAAGATTAATATAATACCATAAATTTATAATATAGTATATTTTAGTAAAAACATTTTTACAAAATTAACTTTCTACATTCTGTATTGTATAGAATATATCGTGTAAATTATTCTATTTTGTACAATTCATATGGTACTTTAAACTTTATATTACATGCTATCAAATTTTATTCTATCATGTGTAATTTAATTTTTATCTCTTTTCTCGTTGTTTTTTATACGTCTGATTTATATAATGTTTATTAAAAATATTAAATACAAAACTTATATATAGTTTTGTTAAATATATGAAATTTTATCGTGAGAAAATCAATTTAACATAGAACTTGTTTACATCTATGTTTTTTTTTTTGTTAGTCTTTTATAATAGTTTTAAGAAATTGTCTCTCATTGATATTAAATAATTTAAATTTTAATTATTTTGAAGATATAAAAATAACTGATTATTTTAAATTTTATTATAACATGAGTTTAATTGTAAAGCATTTAGAAAATAAGAGGATTTTTGTGTGACATAATTTTAAAATATAAAGAAAGAAATTTCTATAAATTTTAATAATAGAGATTTTATTTAAGTCCAAAATAAAAAGTAGGCTAGAATAACGTACTAAATACAATTCTTAAAAATGAGTTTGCATTGCAGTGGTGGTTTAGAGTTTAGGGTTTAGATTTTTATTTTATTTTAATTTATTATTCAATTATAAATGGCCAACATTAGAAGATTCAAAGTTCATGTATAGGAAGAAGTTTTTAGAGGAGAAAAAAGAAAAGATATATTTTTTTAATTTTAAATTAAAATAATTATATATTATTTATGATTACAAATATATTAAGTTCTTATTAATATATTGATTTATATATTTTATTTTTAAAAATATTAATTTTATATATTTATTTAAAATATAAATTTTGCTTTTTCTTTCAAAATTTTCATTTCTAAACAACTCTAGGCATTGTATTTGAGATTTTATATAAATAATAAAAAAAATTTGTGTATTAAAATAAAGATTGAGATTTAGAGTATTTTTAAGAGTTAAAATTAAATCTTCTTATAATATTAATTGATTGATAAGTTTATTTTAAGTTATTTATAATTAATTTAAGAGTTTTGTTAATCTCAGCTCTTAAGATTGAGGATAAATATTTAACAATAATAAAATTTTATTTAAAAAACATTTATTATATATTTATAACTTTAATATAATAACTGTATTTTTTTATAAATTTTTTTTATTTATAGATATTTAAAAATCAGATAAAATTAATAAAATCCTTAATTTAATAGTCTTTTTTTTTGTCAATTTTAATATATAAAAACAAAATTCTATTTTAAAATGTTAAATTTATTTATTTTATTAAATACCTAACTAATAAAATATTCTAAAAATTAATAAAAAAATATAATATTACTCAAGATAAAATCATAGTTATCTTTGATAATTCTAAGGTCTGAAAATAAATATCTTGATATAATAAAATTTTTTAATAAAAAATTAATTACATGATTTAAAAAATAGTTAAATTATTTTTCATAAAATCTTATCTTTAAAAAAATTTTAAAGGTTGAATTAATTTTCAAAATTAAATGTTTATCTTTGAATTTCTTCTTTCACTAAATGATGTTATTCTCATTACATATAACATAATTTTAAAGTAACACTAATAATAAATATTAAGATAATTTTTTTTCTCAAAATTAAGGATGAAAATATAAATAAGTTAAGCCATTCCATAGGAGTTTATTTATATCTTAATTTTTTTAAAACTTAACTTAATTTAGTTTATTTAAGTAACAAACTTAATTTTAAATTTTTAAAATATTTAATTAATTAAATAAATTAAACTTAAATTTAAGAGGCTTGATAAAAAATCATTTAAAATTTATAAAAGTTATAATAATATATTAAATAATTTTATATAAAAATTATAATATTACATTATATTAAATAAATTAAAATTTAAAATAAATAAAATCTTAACTTAAAATTTTTTATATTTTTATTAGAGTTAGAGAATATTCTTAGTACATATCTTCTGTGAGAGAGAGAAAGAAAGTGTTGCTTATTGAAATTTTTTTAAAAAAATAATAAATGACAATATGTAATTTTAGTATAAATATTTATGGTATTAAACTATTTTTTATACTTTATTTAAATATAAATTTTATAACCTTTATAGAAATATACTTATTTATACAGTTTGATAGCCTGTTTACATAAACTTAATAGCTTATTAAAATTCTCAATATCAAGTAAACTATTAAAAAAGTTAGATCAAATCAAAATTTAAAAAAAAAAAAAAATACTATACTCAATAAAAAAATCATAATAAAAATAAGTTAGATTTAAATTTTAAAATTATTTCAAGAATTTTGTTAACCTCAGCTAATAATAGTAAAAATTTATTAGAAAAATAAATATTTATTAAAATTTTATAACTTTAATATAATAAATGTATTTTTTTTTATAAATTTTTTTTATCTGTTGATACTTTAAAAATTAATAAAATTTTTATTAAATAAGTTAGAATTACTTATATAAAGTCTAACATATTTCTATCTTTACTTACTGTTTTCACGAAATATGTCTAATTTTTAAGAAAAAGAAAAATATTTGTTTAAATCATTAAAAATTATTTTTTATATTTTAATAATTGAGATATATTCTTTATACATATGAAAAAAAAAATGATAAAAATAATAATATAGAATATGTTATATAATATAGATTTTTAGTCAATTAAGTAGAGAACTGAATTTAAAGGTTACTATGGGAATAAATTATTTAACTTTTGTACTGTTAAATCTTCCTTCAGCAATTAAAAAAAATATATTCCTCCAGCCTTCTTAAGAAAACAACTAATTAGGTGGTAGTTTATTTCATTGTAATTTTTTTATTAATTAATCTCATCTTTTATAAATTTTATTTACTTTAAATCTTTAGAATTAAAAGATAAATAATTAATAATAGAAAATTTTAATTAAAAATTATCAATATAATAAATATTTTTAATATTTTTATTTAAGAATGTTTAAGCAAAATTAATTTTTTTATTAATCATTATAATTATTTAATATAAAATTAATAATAAAAAATTTATTGAAGAGCGTAAAAATAATAATGATAGAGAATCCATTTTGATTTAAAATGAATTTGAATCGTTCAACAATTTGAGCCATAACTGTTATTTGAACTGTTGTTATTAAAACAGCACAGGTATTTACGTGCTCACAGCAACTTTGTCGTTAAAATGCACAGATATTTATGTGGTTACATATTCCAATTTGACATTTTACTTTCTTTTCATTCTTCGGGTAAAAGTTTGAATTCGGTAGATATTGCGAATTTCAAGTATTTATTTCATTTTTATTTAATTAAGCAATTTTCATAATATTGTTGTTATATTTTCATATTATTTATCTTTTTAAATGATATATATTTTTAAAAATTATTCATTATAAAATTATTATGATATTTTTTAATTTATTCATCACTGCACGGAATAAATATATATAATATTTTTAAATAAAATTATAAAATGTAATGTAATTAAATTCACTTCTAAAAATTACAATTTTAAATATATATATATATACTGTACAATATTGTACATGCTAAAATTATATATAAAATTACTTTTAAAAGTTAAAATATAATTATAAAAATATTTAAATATCTAGGTAAAATATTAGTAAATAAAAATATTATTAAAATGAAATGAATACTTTTATCATTTTTTATAATGAAAAATGTTTTAAGATAAATAAAGATATTTTGAAAAATATTTTTCCTTTGATCTAGGTTACATATATTTTTATCAGAGGTAGGTAATTATGTTTGATTAAAATAATTTTATTAAGATAAATACTTAGTATATATAAAAATAATATGGTAAAAATAAAATTTAAGACCAATTTTAGTTTTTTAAAATTATTATGAAAATATTTAGTATATAAAAAATCTCAATACAAATTTTTAACTTTTAAATACATAAAATTAATAAAAAAATTAAGATTAATATTAATATTTTCCTAAATAAAAATATATTTATTATTTTAAAATATATATATTTAATAACTTTATTTTTATTAAATAAAAGAAAAAATTAAAGGAGAATATAAAAAAATAAATAAATCTTTCTCACACCTTCTCTTTTATTATTCTTAGTTACTAGATATTTGGAGTGTTTAAACATTAAATAATTTTTTTGTAAAATAATATTAAAAAAACATTTTTTTTGGGTAATAGGATATATCTTTGTCTGAATCATTCTATTTATACTACGAGGATCTAAGGAATCTAGAAATTATTATTAAAAAGAATTAGAATTAATTATAATGAAAAATAAAAGAAAATGGAAAATTACAAAAATAGTCATAGTCACCACGCGTTCAAAACAACAAGAACTGCGCTTTTCCTTTCCGGTACGAAAGGAAGCTTTCTCAATGCTTCATGCTTTTCTCTCTCTTCGGATGCATCAAACAAATTTCTTCTTTGTTTTATTTTCACTTTTAACTCTCAATTCAAACCCTCTGTTCAGTTACCACATTCCCTCTTTCCTCTTTACACAAACAATAAATCTCTGCGGAAAAACAAAAAAAGGTTTTAATTCTCTTTCTTTGTGTCTTCCTTCATTTTCTTCTGAATTTACGATTTACAAAGTAAAATGTGAATGCAAATACAATTTTTTTTTAATATTTTAGGTTTTTGGTAGCAATGGCTGTAAATTCTGCCCAAATCGATTTAAACTCTGATGCTGTCTTGTTTGATCGAGAGAATGAGGTTATGGGGTTGAAGTCTCTAGGGTCCAATGTTAGTGTTGGTGTCTCTCATTCTGAAACCCTAAGTGGTGACCCTATTGGTGGTGGTGAGGTTCTAGTTCATTATCAGGCTTGTCATGTTGGAGATGATAGAGATGTCAATGGATCACAGGAGCAACTTTCTGGCGTTAACAAAGATTGTGATGTGATGATTGATGACGGTGGAAAAAAGGGTTTGGGTGAAGGATCTGAATTGGTGGGTATAGGGAATGGTTTGGGGGCAGGAGTAGAAGTTGTTGATGGAGGGTGTGATGGGAAAGCAGGGGAGTTCTCATGTGAGTTGGTGGAGAATGGAGATAAAGAAAGTGGGATGGAGTGTTTAGATGGAGCCCCATTTGCTTGTGGAGATGCAGAACCTGATAAAGGTTTGGTTTTTGAATTTGATGACTGTGTTTGGAATGAGCTGGGGTGTGAGAATGCTAGGGAAGTTACTGAAAATGGTTTGCCAAGCACTGAGGTTGCATCAAATAATGTGGCTCAAGGAGTTGATAATAATGTGACTGGGTGTGATAAGGAGGTTAAGAATGCTGCTTTGGTGAATATGAGTGCAGCTGTGGAAGATGATGGTGAGATGAATGCTACAGATAGTTTGGTTGTTAAAGATAGACATGAAGATCTGTGTGCCTCAGAAGTTGCAACCTGCCAATTACTGGGTGGAATTCCATATATGGAAGAGACAGATGTCGATGACCGAGAATCTTTGCCTGTGGAAGACTTGTCAAGAAATCACCTTGAGCTAGAAACTTCATATGAATTGAAACAGCCAACCTTTCAGGTAGATGCACAAGTAGATGTGCTGCATAATCAAACCATAGGCATTGATATTTCTGAAGCACAGCTGTTTGAGAATATTCAAAATGAGTGTCATGGTTTTAATCTTGTTGTAGATCTTAATTCTTACAGAAACTTGCAGGAAATTGGCATCTATCGGGAACCAGTGTTTTCAGGATTGGATTTCTGTGTATCTGATTTGGTATGGGGAAAGGTGATGGGGCATCCTTGGTGGCCCGGTCAGGTCTTTGATTCCTCAGCTGCATCGGAGAAGGCAAAGAGGCATCTGAAGGAAGACTCTTACCTGATAGCATATTTTGGGGATCAAACTTTTGCTTGGAACGATGTGTCAATGATAAAGCCATTTCATATGCATTTTCCACAAATGGAGAAGCAAAGTAATTTAGAAAATTTCCACCATGCTATTGACTGTGCTTTAGATGAGGTCTCGAGACGGGTTGAGTTTGGCTTATCCTGTCCTTGCATGCCTGAAGAAGTGTTTTCTCAGCTTAAAACTCAAGTAATTAGTAATGCTGGCATCCGTAAACAATCAAGCAGAAGAAATGGAGGGGATAGATATATCAATGCAGCATCTTTTGAACCCATGAAACTTATCAGTTTTATTAAATCATTAGCCCAGTCGCCATTTACTGAATCTGATAGACTGGATTTTGTAATTGCACGTGCCCAATTGTTGGCCTTCTATCGTTCAAAGGGTTATTCTCAACTGGCTGAATTTGCAGTGCTTGGTGGCTTGTTTGAGACTGATATGGAAATTCTACATGAGAGAGAGAAAGAGCAATGCAATTATCAAGTTGATGAGCAAGAAGTGAAGATCTGTAATTGCTATTCACAGAAGCATAATCACATCTCCTGGGATAGCAAACAGGACAGTAAAAAACACAAACTTTTGTCAGATTTGATGTGTGAGAAGAGCTTCTGTATTCCCAATGGTGAATGTACAACAGAAAGTAAAGGTAGTGATAATTCTACTCCACAGCGTCGTGGCAGGAAAAGGAAGACAGCTTACAATACCTTGGAATATTTCCACAATTCCCGAAAGAGAAAGTGCATCCAATTGCAGCATGTTTCTACAAATGAGATGTGGTCTCAACTTTGCTTGGCTGCCAAGGATCCAGCTGGAGAAAGTCACTCAAATGACATGGTAGATTTTTTTGCTGAATTTAAAAAATCCAGTAGCCTTGATTATTCTGCTTCCTTGGATCAAATAGTGTCTTTGGAACAAATGCGTGAGGGTGAGACCAGAGATGCATTGGGCTTTATGACACCTGCGATGCAGCCTTGCAATGATTCTTATTGGACTGATAGAATAATTCAAAGCATTTCTGAGGAGCAATCATTGTCAAAATACCAGAATGAGGGAGCAGATTTTTTGCATGAGACTCCAGGTGAAGCTAATTCTCTCTCTTTCAAGTCACAACCAGCTGCTGAAATGACCACAAATTTGGGTTTTGAGCAGCAAGATGCTGATAGAAATCTGGGATTAGAACCTTCTAAGCTTGTGGAACATTTGGATGAGAGTTCTAAGGAGGGCATCTGCCTCACTGCTCTGACATTGAAATTTACAAGCTTGGATTCTGTTCCTTCAACAACAGATCTCAATAAGATTTTTGGCCGCTTTGGGCCCTTGATTGAATCGAAGACTGAACTGCTAGAGAGGACTAACCGTGCCAGAGTGGTTTTTCAAAGGCGTTCTGATGCAGAAAATGCTTTTAGTAGTGCTGGGAAGTATAGCATATTTGGACCTTCACTTGTTAGTTACCGCCTCAAGATTTTGCCCCCTAGACAACAAAAAGGCACAGGAAAGCGAGGAAGAAAAAGCAAAAAAGAAAAAAGTTCTGTGAATGGCACCGCAGTTTGATGCCTTGGCATTGACCCTCCAATCCATTAGAACTCTAGGAACTGTTGTTTTTATGTGAATATCAATATCAATGTTCTAGTATTAGTATTTTGATGAGCTAAGGCTAGCATGCTTATACATAGAATTGAGTAGCTGGCTAATTGATATCTAGGAATCTTTAGAGAGAGAATCAATTACATTTTATTGTTAGGTGCATATATTTTGGAACTAATACAGGGAAATTTCTAACTTCAGCTGGTTAATGATATGACTGTCTTATGCGAATGAATTCTCTTATGTTAGCTTTTTATTTTGTTAATAACTAAATGGACACAACATTTATATAGTGAATTGATTCCCGGGCATGTTTGCATCAGTGCATTGTCGCTCTGAAAAACCATGCTTATGATTACCGCTTTTTCCTAGTCCCGCCTGGGAGTATTTGAAATCACGCGATTTACTTTCATATGTTCATCTTTCCTTGTTCGGGAGCTCGAGCGCAATGCCCCAAACTGTAACCTAAGTGTGTGCTTATATTTTTGTTAGAAGACATGAACAAAGATTCAACTTAAACATTATCATTAATAGCGTTGAAATAAACCGAAATTTATAGACATGTAAATGCGAATTGAAACACAAAATAAATAGCTGGTTCTTTACCCAGTTTTGGGTTATTAGTTAATTTTGTTTTGAAATGAAAACTCGAATTAAGAAGATTAATATAAATAGATAAGACAAACACAGAAGTGGGTAAAAAAAATATTTTAAGCATAAATTCTTTTTTTCACTTTGATTCATTTGCTATGAAATTGTTTTAAAATAAATTGCTAAAATTTAATTATCCTTTTAGTCCTTATACTCTAGCTTATGTATGATTTTAATTCATCTAATTTTAATCATTCATATTTAGTTTTATAAAAAAAAATTACTTATACTTCAAGGATTCCTTATTAGAAACAATTATGTTGAGTTACACCACAATTACTATCAATGGTATAATTTTAATTGTTTAAATTTGCTTATCAGATTAAATATTAATTTTAATTTTAATTAACATTAATAGAGTTGATTACAAGAAATATACCTTTATTTTAACTTAAAATACTGTTTCTTAAATAGAAAAAAAAAAGTCAATATATATATAGAGCAAAATTTTCTCACACTAAGTAAATCTAAAAACAACATATAACATATAATCAGTACTTAACTGATTGTTAAATATAAGTTAAATAAATAAATAAATAAAAGAATATATATATATACTAAAAAACAATATATATTAATACAAAACTCAAATTTATTCTCTAATTAAACTTTTGTTTCCTGACTAAAAAATAAAATGTTATCTTCAAATAAATGAGTCTAAAACGAAACAGTTTGATTTGGTTTGATTCAATTTTTGACATTATTCTCAAATCAATCTAATCCTTACGGCAAGTTTATTTTACAGTCGGTTAACTTTTCTTATCTCGAAACCAAACTCAAACCAAAACGCAAACACCCCTAAGTTAAACTCTATCCATCACTAGTTTAAAATAATTTAAGGTCACAAAATGCTTTAGTTTTCTTTTTATAGAATAAAATATTTTAATTAAAATAAAGCGTAGATATTTATATTCTAACTTTACCCATCTTACTACTCATCATATATAAAAAATAAACTAAAAAGGTGCACTAAAGTTAATGTGGGTATATGCATGTGAGTGAGTGTCAGAATAAGATGCTTCAGGACTGGGTCATATCTCAAATGCCATTTATAAAACAGCTCAAAATTCCTAAAAAATCAATAATCTCAATTAAACTTGCAATCACTCATATCACTTCAACAAGAACCACTTATACAGGGAATCATCATTGAACATAGGATCACGATCAAGTTATTACTAGCCCCTATTGCATTAGATTTCATTTTGATCAATCCATAATCAGTAGCAATCGCTAAACAGAAACGTACTAAACCTCTAACATAATGTTCAAGGCCAACAGCACGACAACCAGAGAAAGGGGATGAAGAATAAAAGGGAGGCAAGCTAAAATATGTTACTAAACATGTAAAATGATTAAGTTCAGTAGAATAACTAGAAAAGATACAAAATTGTCCATAAAACCCATTCACCTCAAAGCAAAATTCATAACACTTGAGAGAAACTATGAAAACAAAAAGAGGACCCACAAATTTAAGACCTTGGCTTCTCCTTCTTCTCCTTGAAAAGAGCCAGAAGAGAGACACCCGAGACCTTCACAACCTTGAATCTAACACCAGGAATATCACCCACAGCATGACCTTTCCGTCCAAATCCAGCAATCAAAACTTCATCCTACAACCATTGGCCACAACCCAAATTACATAATGGATATAAACAATAAATTATTCAAGGAACTCAAGATAATTCCATGAATACAAAAAAAAAATAAAAATCAAACTAGCAAAAAATATGGACAAGCACTCACATTCTCTTCAATGTAGTTTAAGCAACCATCGTTCGGTACAAATGCAGCAATCTTCTTCCCATTCTTGATAAGTTGAACCCTGGCACACTTACGAATAGCAGAGTTGGGCTGCTTAGCCTCAATACCTCTGCATACAGAAAAAACATATTAATTTCTGATCATCATCTGTTCCAGCTGAACTGAAAAAACATCGGAGTAAAAGATATAAAAATCATGTTAAACTAATCTCACATCTTTTCAAGGACAATTCCCTTTGCATGGGATGAACCAGCAAAAGGTTTCTTCCATTCATTCCCAAGATGGGATTTCTTGTATGCCTTGTCAGCCCACCTTTGCCTCCTGCGGTGGGACTTGAGCTTGCGCGCAGCTCCCATTCCACGTGTCTTCCTGTAGGCAAGTGAGAAATTTTAATTATACACATTGTATGATTTTATTTTCATCAATCAATCCCTATTTCCCCCAGTGGCAAAGACCAAACTCTAGAAGGACAGATAAAAGAAGCTTGTTAAATGTTCATTGTAGTTTTCAAAAACTTTGTGAAAAGCAAATTTAAACATTCCCAACCTAAATTAACAATAAAACAAACGTAGTGCCATTGATCTTATTTTACCAAATAAAATTTAAAAACACCTAATGCCTTGAATATGGTAATTCAGTGACTGCATTAGACAAACTATAAGCACAAAATCATTCAAACAAACGACATCCATGGGATAGCTTTAGACCAAAGACCTAAAACATTAAACATTAATTAAAAAAAAAACGAAATAAGAATAGCGGTAAGAGCACAATCCATACTCAAAAAAAAAAAGGGAAAGAAGAACGAGGGGAAAAATCAAATTAGGTCATAGACTAATAAGTATAGAAATCCTAGTCATAAAAAAATAAAAACTTTTTAAATGTGAAGAAACCATGAGAAGATATGATTTGAAACAGATCCACTGGAAGTACACACTAATACACAAACACTATCATTAGCCTAGTTCTTCCTTCTATGTCAAATACTGAGTGCAAGAAAATAAAATAGAAAGGAACATCAACATGAGACGAAGCAAATTGAAAAGTAATGGAGGGTTTAATTGGTTACCCCATGGCTTCGTTCTTCTGTGGAGAGCTTGGAAGTAATGGAGGATCAGCAGCAACCACAGAGCAAAACCCTAATTGTTAAACGGAATGCTAGGGCTTTATATATATATATTAGACAAATATAATTATCGGGCCTCAACCTTTTGGGCCCAGAAGTTTGTTGAGAACGTATGTAAACCACCAAAAAGAAAATGTTCATCGTAGACCAAAAATATCGGCGACCCAAAATTTCCATGTCCATCAAACGGATCGTAAAAGTTAATTTTCAGAAATATATTTGATAATTGACCAATATCAAATATAAAATATTCCACAATTAATTTTTAGAATTTAATTTTTAAAAAGTATAAATACTTCTAAAAATTAAATTTCAAAAGCGATTTACTAATTACTTTACTTAATTTTTGGAAGGTGTTAAACATACTTTTAAAAATTATCCCTTTCGAAAATTAAAAAGTGACAGAAAAAAAGGTTTTGCGATTTGTCAAGATTCCTTTCTCTATAATTAGTGGATATTTTAACCAAATAATAGAAGTCTCATCGTCATAAAAACCCAATACTACTACTGATAACAATAAGTTAAGCTTTTCTTTATTGTATATAATCATCTGAATCTCTTGTATCTGTCTTCTTTTTTCCTTATTAGGAATTTTCCGTTTGGTTATCTGCTATTTATTTGTAAACTACCATTTTGATTATTTATAAAAGGATGCAATTATAAATACACTTTTTTTTCAAAGATTTAAAATAAACATAAAAAAAGATAAAATTGTAGACAAGCTTTGTTATCTAACTACAATTGTTTGGAAATGCCAGACAGTTCTTCAATATATATTTAGAATAATGTACTTCAAACTCTTGAAAATCATTATTTTTATCTTAATCTTATTTTAAAAAAGAAAAGAAAAGCAAATTAACTTACACCTAACGCTACTAAATGCATTAGCCATTAACAAATAAAACGTAACAATTCAGTTAGGATAATCACTCAATAAGTATAAGCTAGAGATAACAGTATATTAAGTTGTATATGCCTTTTATAAGAAACACAAAACATATATTTTTGCATAAAAATGGTTGAGCTAAATGATTCAACAAGAACAAAATGAGAAAAATGGGGATGTATAGTAATTTATTGCTAGCTCTCATGGGTAAGTTAATATTGAGTGAGTTTATTTTCTTTTAAATATTAAAATAGTGTTAAATTTACAAAGAAATAAATGTAGAAACTATCAATCATGTGAATCAACTAATTGAAGGTTATTTCAACTTAATTTACGGTTCAAATTATAATGTAACTGTGTTAAATTTCATAAAGAGAGAGTTCACAGTAATCTTATTTGCTTTGAGTAGAATTATCTCTAATAGAGGATACTTATAAATATATATATATATATATATATATATATATATATATATTGTAATTTTGATATTAGATTATAATAGTTTTTAAAAATATATTTTTCTTAAAATATTATTTATTAAAAAATGTTTATAATTTTTTTAAAACTATTAAAAATATTTTTAAATAATTGTTTTTATAAAATATTAAAAAGTATAAAATACAAGTGAAAAGATAATACCAAAAAAATCTTATTCTAATATTTCTTAATTTATTATTCTTTTAGAATAAGAATTTGAAATATAAAAATAAAATGAAATAACTCAATATAATAAACTATATACCCTCATATTTTCTTACCACTTAACAAGAGGAGTATCCCTTGGAATATGGGATTAATCGGGCTTTCGTAATCTGCAAGCAATAGAGCATGCGCTTCTTTTGGTATAATGACCTTATTCTTTTTCTTTTGTCTTTGATTTGGCGACCACATTGTTGTGGGGACGCTGATAAGGTATAACTATCTAGTGCAACAGTTGCATAATTCCAACAAGCAAAAAGAAGGGCAAATAACATCTTTACATCTTTAATACACGAATCATTATGTATAAATACTTTGTTGCAAAATTTCCCCAACAACACTAACACTATCTTCAAATAACAAGATTTAGTGTCATGTTTTAGTTCCTTCAATTTTAAAAATGTCTACTTAACTTTTTCAGAATGATATTTAATGTAGTTTAGGGTTTATTAAACTTTAAAAATCCTTGCCTAGTCCTTAACTTTTTCAAAATGACATTTACTGTGGTAATTTTTAACGCAAAAATAAAATAAAATAAATGACTGAAATAAATCACCTTATCGCAAGACAAATGCATGACTCAACAATTTTGAGAACTAACTCGAGGATTTACTCTTTAGTAGGGATGTGATGACATAAAATTTCATGGAAACAACCAATACACGTAGGGTCTGGTCTTACATATAAACACTCACTGCACCATTCCAAAGCTGGAGCAAGTGCAGGAACTGGAATCACTGAGCCTAAGTAATTTCATAGCAACTTCAAAATATTTGTCACAGGATCTGCTCCAGGCAAATTAATCCTCAAGGATTGCTTGAATGGTGATTAAACCACATGATGCCTGATAATAGCCAAAAGTAAACAATTTCAATGAAATAACATAAATCAAAACCATTTGCTCAACAGGCTAACAGCATGGAATGAGTGTACACAATACATTGTTACACTACCTGCAAGTGCAAAACATCTATACATTAATGGTTTTTCTTCCACAACACTCCAATCTTCTTCAACATGTTAGTATTTTTCTTCTTGGGTGAGTCATCATCTGTGTCCTCTGAATAAGGTGAACTCGCCTTGGCAGAAATAGGATTGTAGCTACTGTCAAGTGAGCCTGTTCGCTCCACAAACTTTCCATTGTTTCCAGCAGAAAGCATAGCAGCAGCGGCTTCAGCTGCTTTTCTCCACTGGTCTGACTGCACTTTCAACCTCCTTAATTCAGCTTCTAACTCAGAATTAGTAGCCTGTGCAGCATCTAATTGCTCGGTTACCCGTGCTACTTTTCTGTTGCTTTTATCTGCTTCTTCTGTTAAGTAGCCAAGTTTCATCAAAGCCTCTCGCTCTGCTGCCCTTGCAGCCTCAGTAGAAGCAACAGCCTCATTGGGTACTTTATTCTTCTCCAGCTCTGCCCTCTTTATTTCCATTTTGAGTGCATTGTTTTCCTCGGTCACATTTTGCAGTTCTGTCTCTCTGTCCAATAATCTCTCCTTCAACTCAGTTATGTCAGCATCAAACTTTTTGAGCTCTGCCATGGGTTCAGGTTCTCTTTCACTAGGTTGGTTTTGCTTGATCCTTGACTTGAGCACCTCATTTTCCTCTGATAAACCCAGCAAACGAGATTCCTTGTCCATCAGCTTCAACCTTAACTCTTCAATATCAGTTTTAGCTCTCTTCAATTCCTCGTGTAATTCACCCTGTCTATGACAAGATTCTAATTTTGTACGCTCCAGTTGTTCAAAAGCACTTCTAATCTGCAATGTGCTCCGGATATATTCTTCTTGGTATCGTACCTCAGAAACATCCAATGCAGATTTTAACTGCGCTGCTTCAGATTTAGCAGAGATAAGCTCGGTTTTGAGCTGTTTTATATCCTCATTTTCTGCATTTTCCGGTGCAAGTTCAGTTTCATTTACTGGACCTAACATATTTTTGTTAGCACCACTAGCCAAATCAGACTGAAGTTTGCTGACAAGTTCGTCCAATGAGTTTACTTGAGCTCTTGATTGTTCCAACTCTAAAGCTAAGGATTTGTAAGCTTCTGATGCTTTCATACCTTCTAACCGGAGTGTTTCAACAGTCTTGTTTGCTGCTTCCAATTGCATTTGAGTTTTGCCAACTACCTCCAAAGCTCGGGATTCAGATTCTCTGCAATCACTTACCTCATTTTTCAGATTTTCCACTAAAGTGAGTGCTTCATCAAGCTCCACCCTTAAGTCCTGAATCTCAGCATCGGCTGACTCTGCATTGCTAATATGAGCAGCTTCAGAGTCACGTACCCTTTCAAGTTGAATTTTCAGTTTCTGGATTTCGTTCATAGCAGACACCAAAGCTGTTGAATCCATTGAGTGCTGCTTCTGGACAGCCTCCAGTTCAGATTGCCATGCACGATCTCGATCCTGAGAAATTTTTTGGAGCTCTTGAAGCCGTTCTTCTTCAGAAGCAGATAGTTCCAGAAGCTGTTGCTGGGATTCCTCCAGCTCTTTTGACAAGGCTAAAAGCTGCTTTTTTGCCTCTTCAGCCTCCTGCTGAGCTTTCCTCTTCCATGACTCAGACGAGTTGAGTTGGTCCTTAGTTCTCTTTAGATCTTGTTCAAGTTGAGCAAGTTGAGACTCTAACTCCTGGACCCTACCTGGCCTCTTCTTCTGGAACCAGATATTGAAGGGCAATGATATAGAACAAATAATAAAACTTAAAACATTGCCAATAATCTCAATGTTTTGAATTTTATATAAATATGGATAATAGACTAATGAAGGAATTTTATATAATATCTAGAATGATGACCATGGGTAAGTCTTATAAGGGGGGAGGAGGCTAGCCATGCACTAACTATAATACCTCAGATATTGGACTTCGTGGTGACTTGCGTTCTGTGACCTTCGGACTTTTATCTTTTTGTGGCTTACTTGCTGGGTTTGGAGATGATGAGACTGAATCAGAATCAGAGCCTAGTGTCTTCATCTGGCGAGCATTCCGAGGAGTTACAGGAGATTTCCTTTGAGGGACTTCTGAAGTACTAGTTCTGCTTATAAACAACCATATGCCAATTAGCTATGCATAAATAAATGTAGAATCATAAAGAAAAATCTTTAGATGGCACAATAAGGTGGTCAAGTGAGAAGTTCATTTCAAAGAGTACTATTACAAGTTTACAACTTTTTGGAATAAAAAACGGTATCTGCACAAGAAGAATTATGTTTTGTAACAGGGAAATCTTTTCAAAAATATGTTTGTTACATAAAAGACAAAAAAACATTGATATAAAATTGTCTACTAGTTATAACTATCATAATTAGTTATGATAGGACAGACTTACCATAATATGATTCATTTGGAGTTCATCCAACAACTCCCAATTAAATACAAATATGCCCATAGATTGTTCTTCAGATTTCTTCAGAAAGCAACATGCTCTAAATGGCACTTTAAAGTCTAATAGATAACAGGTAGTATTCATACCTCATATAGATCCCAGAAATAATTATATTTAATCTGTTTGAATACACTTAATGTAATAAATAAATAAAATTCATTAAGTAATAAACTCCAGTTAAATAAATTGGCCCAAATTAAATCTTCAGATTTCTTTGCAAAGGAACAAGCCTTAAATCATACAACCAACCCTGATGAATGAAATAAAAGCATCAATCCCTCATCAAGACTCCCAGAATCCATCTTAACACAGAACAAAAATGGAATGCTGAAAAAGTGTCAAATAGGACAGTCTTACCTTGATTTAGATGTCTGCATATTTTAATACCGGGGTGATACAGAAACACAAACTAAACAACCTCTCTTTTAAAGCCCCTGACCCACACTCCCTGCAATAGAAATATGAGAAAGAAATAAAGACAATAAGGAATTTGATTTATAACTATGAATGAGAACAGGCATGGTTTGCACTTTACACTTTACAGCAGAAGACCACATTGGATCAGCATTGAACAAAAAACCTAACAAACAAACTACACATAATCCCTTCAAAGAAACTCCAAGTAAACTAACTCCACTACCACCTACCAAACTCAAATCAAAAAATAAATAAACACATTTAAATTAGTGAAACCTTCCACCAAATAATTAGTAAATTATCATTAATGGAAAGCCATCTTCCAACTTTTCCAAATTTGTTTAAGACCTTTCCTCCCTTTTACTCCACAGTACCATGCTACACTTGAGTCTCCATTGACCAGCAACAAACTAGAATGTTAACATCTTTAGCATCCTACAAAATACCAAACTAAAACTAAAATGTAAGCAATTTTCCAAATCCATCATGCGGTCAAGAAAACACCAATAACTATAAATGATTGCGTGTGCTATCCAAACAACCATAATTTCACAGCTCTTTCATATTTCAAGACAAACCAAAAAGTTCCTTTTCTACAACATAAACCCAGAAACTGTGGTGTTAACAGGAAGTTTCCAGATTCCTCACCAAGCTTTTCAAAATGGAAGAACACAGATGAACCTCAAATAAAGTATAAGCAAATTTTCGGGGCCCGTTTTTCAATTCCTGTGGTAAGTGAATACCCCGAGAAAAAAATTCAGAAAAGATACAAACTTTAAGCGTCTCCTGAACACAGACAAGAGACAAAACCCAGATCTACATGCAGTCTGAGACCAAATCACTGATCCAAAAGAGGAGAAAAACACTCAACAAAAACAGAGACGGCACTAGCAGAAGCATCCTCCGTCAAAAAAAAAAAAAAAAAACGAAAATCAGAATGTGTTATTGCAAAGAGAAAGTGCTAACAACTTACCAAGTGTTATAAACAGAGAACAACCAGAAATATCTGAAAAACACACAAAGCTCTAGTGTTTAATAAATACCCCAAAACCAGAGAGTAGTGTCAATGGTTTTACATGAGAAGCACGTGCACGAGTCCCCATTTTCCTTCTTCAAAAGACACAGTAGACAGAAAATGATAGGTCGTCCTTTTGAGAAAAAATGGAAAGAAAACAAAAACTCAATAAACTAACCACCACCTTGCCATAATATACTAAAACACATCCACAGCAACTTGACTCAGAACACTGTTATAATAACCAATACCCAAGAGTAGGAAAAAGAAAAAGACTCTAACTTTTAATGCAGATAAATGGAACAAACGGGAATAGATGAAGAACACAGGCATGAAAGTGCAATGCAGTTACCGGAGTGTTGTTTGAAAGGCGCAACGTGTGAAACTCTGAAGTGGATGAGAAGGGTCGAAGGTTGATTGTTGGCATTCAAGTTTGAGACAAGCTTTAATATTTCTCTTTTCTTCTTCTTCTTCTTCTTTTTGAGGGGGTGAGTGGAGGGAGTAGCAGGGAACAGGAAAATACAACGTTTGAAACGGAGGCGCCATTGATGTTATACGCTCCTTAACCTGCACGCGCTGTTCACGGTCGTGTTTTCGTGGGTCCTACGCCACCCCGAAGGTTCATTGTGATGGGGAGTGGCAACATGGGAAGTGTCCAAATGCCTTGTATCAATCTACGAAATTCCATAGTTTGCGTCTCGATGTTACTCATCACTTTACGATAATTGTATTTTGATCGCCACTCTATTTAGCAGCAGTAAATAGCAAAAATCATAAGAATAAGTGCCTTTTACATTTTTAATCAAACAAAGTTACATTTTTAAAAAATAAATTATATTTAATCCTTTGATAAGGTTTAAGGTTGTTTTTTTATAAAATAATTTCATTAAATATTCATTCAATAAACGTCTTAATGCATAATAATTTTGTTATAGAACTATTCATAAAATTTATAAACATTGTAAATCCAAATAAAAACCTCGTATAAACTATTTTAAACACCCTAATTAATCTAATATTTTATAAAATATCTAGCACAACTTTAAAGGCCGTGTTAGAATCATTATATATATATATATATATATATATATATATATATATATATATATATATATCCTTGGATCATTTATGCGTACGTGTAAATAACGTATTTATATGCAAAAAAAAATTACAATATTATCTGTATTTTGATAATTTTATTTAATTATTTTATCTACTATAAGGTGAACCTCTCATTACTGAATTGCCAATGATATTATAAAAATACATATTATTTTGACGATAGTAAGAGCGTTTGGAATGTATTCTGTGCAGGCACTTTCATAAAATGTTGTGATTAAAATATCAAGGAATTTTTTTTATATCATTAACTAACATACAAAATGATAGAAAGATAGGAAAAAGAATGTCATAAAAAAAACTCGCCATTTAATATAGCCTCTGCTGATTTAATATAGAGGTAATGTCTTTATCCCTCATACATGTTTAAATGAAATTATGGTGTACACGGGTCATGATAAAAATAATAATATTTACAGCAGGACTTTAAAATTTAATACGAATATATTAATAATAATAAATGTGATTAAACTATTTTAAATTGGGTTGTTATATAAAGTTATGAAATAAACAGATTTTTTCGTCATGTGTTTATGGACATAGTAATGAATGCATTATTTTAATTTCTTAATTTTCTTTTAAGGTAACTTTTCTTTAGAAGTACAATTTTGAAAGGGGAGGGAGTAGAGTATCTTTTAAGAATAATTAAATAATATTTTAATTCAACACTTAAATATATCATAAATATGATTACTGTATGGTTAAGATGGGAAGTTTAATAAAGATAATGTATTACTAAATCTCAACATATTGGAATCCCAAAATGGCCTTGGAAATATGCATTGACTGCACCCGGGGCAGGGGTCAATGCAAACTTGTTTATATCAATTTCAAACTCAAAGGAGTATCAAATGGCTAAACACGGCATGATCCTCAGTTGTTTTGAATTCTATATAACCCCCTTACTCAAATTAGCCCTATTAATTTAAGAATTTTGTTAATTTTAATCCTTAAAATTGAGTTTAAATATTTACAGATAAATTTTTTTTTATAAAAATATTTTTTTAATAAAAATTTACTATTATTAATTGTTTATCCTCAATTTAGAGGCTAAAATTATCAAAACCCTTAATTTAATACACATATTCCAGCAATGATTTTTCATGCTTGATGACCCCCTCAACCCTTCATTTGTGCTCCATAAAGTCACCAAAGGAATAGACATTTGATAATGGACCAATGAAATAAGGTTAAGTGTTATACATACGAATCACAAAAAGTATCTTATTTCTTGCTTTGCGAGGATAAGTCCAAAAATGGAAGCGTAAAAGAAATGATGCAGCATTCATGTGTTAAAGCACAAAGCCTTTGCTTTGTTTATAATGGAAGCAACAAGATAATATTCGCTGGACTTGTGAATTTTTATGATTTGCATTGAAGTGAATGCAAAATATGTACATAACATGTTAAACATTTAATTCTACCGAACCATTTTTAAAAAGATGAATCATAACATCTCCGAATAATCCACAATACCATAGTGAAAATAAAACCACAACAAATATAAGCTATCAAGAAAGAATCACCAGCCTTCATGAAAATCAAAACCCAGCTTTCATGTCTATTCATTATTATATCAACTTTGATTTATATAACTTAAATAGTATTAACAATCATTTAATATGTTTTTTTCTCTCTTCTATTTCTATTTTTATATGTCATTAAATATAAACACTTCTTATTATTCTTATTGTGTATTCTCACGCCTGATAAATTATAATTTTGCTAATTAATGCTTTAAAAATACTGGTTAACAATTTCATATTTTTTTTTATTAAAAACTGCATTATGATGCATTTAAAATAACAAGGTATGTGCATTGTTACAGTTTTAATAAAATTCTTTTTAATTCATTAACTAGTTTTAGACATTGATTTTAATACACATTATCAGTGTCACTGTTAAATAACTAGATTATATCACGAATATGATTTTTATATTGATTATTATACAAATTAATGGTTTTTACTGAAATGATAAATTAAATATTCACACTGTCAATATATTTAAGTTATTTCTTTTATAAATTATAGTTACTTTTGTTTTTATGGTACACGAGGACAAGAGATAACAAGGCAGAGCATGACCAAGAGATAACAAGGTAGAAAAACTTATGCATATAAACTAACTTAGACTCTTATTGACCCAAAGAAAAAACAAGGCAGGAAATCTCACACAAAATAGCCCAACAACCCTCATTCTTCTAAATCAACCAAATGGTAAAAAAAATGGAGTTAAACTAAAAATTTATTCCTTGTTCTTAATATTATTGGTAAAGACAAAAGATGTCTTTCGTTAATACGAAGATGTATAAGTAATATATATATTTTTAAATATATTATTTGTATTAATTGAAATTTATCAAAACTATAAAAATGATGAGTTCTCCTCTAATTAAACGAGTCTTACTTATATTTTTATAATTTTTAAATTCTAGTAAATAAGTAAGAAGTATGTAAAAAATGTGCTCTTAATATATATTTTTTAGACGAAACAACATATAATATACAGGTTTTATGAGAAATTAAGAGGTGAGCAGATTTGTTACATTGAAGTGGGACAATGCAATTTGAGGTATTCATTTGAAAACTGCTCTGAATTGTCGTATTATATGATTTTGTTTATTTTATTTGCAATAACTCGTTCTGATACTTTTTTATTTTTATTCCATAAATTTTGAATCTATGTTTTTTTTTTTATTATTCATTTTCCATTCAAGTGGATTAATATTTTTGCTCTTGACATTATTGAGCTCTGAATATTTGAGATTTTGGAGTTATTATTCTTGAAGCGATATCGAATTTCTTTTGACAGATAATTTAGAGTCTCCTCTGAAAGAGAATAAATAATGCATAAAAATAGTTTATCTCATTGACAAATTTTAATAAACTTTTTAGTATAATTTATTAA